ACCTCAATTAATAGGCTTTAATACTATGGCTTCGCAAACATGGAAATTGACATTTAAACAAAATCTAAAGTTCATTGACTTTGAATATATTATGGCTTGTGATCTAAAGGAAGCCTTTCATGATCTCTTGTTTATTGTGATTACTTTGTTTTATAGTATAGTAGGTGTTAGATTGTTTTATCATACTTAATAGGCAATTAAGTGGTATGTGAGGTTTTAGATGGCATAATACTATACATTCTGTCACCTTTAATTCCAATGTTTCAATTGTTGAGTAATGACTAATGTTTTCTTGGTATTGTATGTTGAAGATTTTTATGTATGTTATTAGTTTCCTTGATTTAAAAGATTACTGATTCATCTAGTTGAACGTTTTTTCTTTCATTTATATTAATATTTCCAATAGTTATTGATCTTGAAGGGAAAATGGCTAGCAATGAATTAATGGTAGTGTATTTGTTGTAGTACAGAGAGATTTACAGCATATTCTATAGCTTGCTATTGATTTCAATAGACTCATAATTTTAATTCATTTGTTTTCATCCACTATTGAACAGGCTGGTAGGTGCAGTATAAAACACTACCTATTTACACACTTTATTATCGTAATAAACTAGATTCAACATTCAACAGAAAAACAGAAAATCAAGAAGAGACAAAAAATGCTTTTTGCACAGCTTTATTAAAATTGTACCTCATGTGAGAAAAATGGAGAAAAATATGGATGATGCATTTATTGTAAAATGTGTGGGTAGAAAATCCAGCCTAGCAAAATATAACACTTCGATCTATTCATGGCACAATCCTGACTGTAACCATCGTATAATCGAGATGCAACCATATAAACTCAATCGAAGTACAGATGAAGATATAGGATAGATGACGCAACATTGTCATCTCTCCTCAAGGACCACCTTTAATAATGGATGACAATATTGACAATAAACACAATGTAACTAAGCAATACTGAAGAAGAATAGCATGTACACATTTATTTTTTATATCACTACATATTTTAATAGATGCAATATATCAAACATGTTGTCTAACCGTAATTTAACCATGGAGGAATTAGTTTAATTATCCATGATAATGATTGATCCATTCCATCCGGAATTTAACATGGGAATCATTGGGAATCAGTACAGTAGTAATAAAAACTGAAACTATTTTTGTAGATTGAACCATATTGAACAGTATCTTGTTTGTTCCTCATAATTAACTGCTGACAGGCTAGCTTTGACCTTGAATCTGAAAATGACCTATTGTGCATGTGACCTGTGTAGAATGAGCCAGTACTAATAATAATAATTTGATATTTATATAGAGCCATTTTGTACACTCTAATGTGTTACTGTTACTAATTTAGACACTGGCTTCTTTGTAATATAGCATCAACCTTGTAACATTTTAAATTGCATACTTGTGTTGTTTTTTTTTTTTCTTTTTTCTTGCTAGTAATTTGTTATAGGCCTATATATTTATTGTACTTTCATAAAAATATTCAATAGAGATACATTAACATGTAATTTAATGTCATACTTTGATAAATTCACAAACCCATAAAAACATTGTCTCTACGGGTATACTGATAATGATAAAGTTTTCTTTGTCATAAATAAATAAATAACTTTGACTTTGTCATACAGTAGATAGTACATTACCTTAGTTCCTCCAGTGTAGTCCCACCTGGAGTAAAAATCCCACCCCTGACTTTACGCCCAACTTCACGTACAAGCATTTCCCTGGGCAAAGTCCCAGGGTATAATTAGGTAAGTAGGTCTAGATCGGTAAATTTAACAAATGCTCACAAATTATGAAGAACTTGGTTCCGAATTTGGCATACGTGAAACTCTTCCAATTGATTTAGACTAGACATTGGTCGTTGTAAGGTTGAATAAACACAGTTTATGCGGGGAATAAGATTTTGATGAACATTTTAAAAGCCTGTAAAATGGTATTATTTGAAAGATTAGCCCTGCATTTGGCTTCGTTTTTAGCCAGCTAGATGCAGTGTCAGACTATTAAAAGCAGCAAAAAGTAGAAATATTGACGATGAAACAGGTAAACGTCTTATACAAAAATCGTCTTGGGGTTCGCCTTGTACACAGATTACTGTACCTAACACGCAAGTTAAATACAGTAATTGTCTGACTTAAACAAAAATGAAAAAAATAAGGTATAGTAGAATAAAGGCTTAAAGATGTATTGTCCATTTAACTTGATTAAATTAAAAAAATGTGTACCCTGATTTTTAAACCAAAATATTATACTAAAAATAATAAAAAACTTCCAGTGACTAGAAGTGTTTCTATCATTTTTCGCTGTAAACTGATGGGTAGACATTCTTTAAATACACTAATTTCTATGTTCAAGTTGATAACTTTTATATTACATGATACAATACATCTTTAATAACATTTTAAAATTAATAGTTAGCTTCAGTGAACTCTGAAAGCAATCACTAACATATAAATAGGGTTAATGGAAAAGGATAATGAAATAAGAAATCAGATAATTCTGTCCCAGTAGTGTATGTTTTTATCTTCCGCAAGATTGAAATGGTTCAATTGTAATGCTGAAAGAGTGGCAATGAATATTAAATGTCAATAGACTAAGAGAAAATTGATACGTAAGCAATTGTCTGAATATAATAAACTAAATATGCACATAAATTTGTAGATACGTGATCATAGTTGCCTGCTGTCAGTTTGTACTGTATGCCTTAAATTACTGGGAACTGTGAATACTGATGTCAAGAGGTTGGTTAGTTAGGTTAATGGTAATTCCTTTGGTTGGAGGCTCTGTTTGGTTTTTCTGTCCATTTTTTTGTTTCTTCACCCTACATAGTTTATCAGTGCTTTATAATTATCCTTATATACTGTAATTATTATTACCGTAGGTCCCCTAATATAAGGTCATTCCACTTGAACACAAAATTTGGCCGATTCCATTTCACCTAAAAAAAAAATCCTTTTTTTTTTAAATTTGTAGGATGACCAGTGGAAAGGCAACTCTTATCTATTTCAATTTTTTTTATTTATTTTTTTCTTGAAATTATAATTCACAAAATATCAGCTGAGGTACTTCATAAAATGATGCCCTTCACAGTCATTTAACTTTTTAATTATTGAAATTGTCAAATATGCCTACATAGTAAATTTATACTGTAGAAGACAAATTATTCTCAAAATTATCATGCATCTTTTCAAATTAATGGATTTAAACTTGTTTTAAACCTAATTTGATATGATGGGCAGAAAATCAAGGGAAACTCATACAAATACATTGATGTAGACATCTGCTGGTAGTTCTGTCGTTTTTAAGCGATGAATACATTGTAATTTAATTAAAGGATTTAAACCAGATTAATTAATATAAGTGGAATTAATTCCCATTTTGAAAGTCTTCTATTAAGAAATGGTACACAAAATAAGAATAAAATAAATAAAATGTTAAAAATCATAAAATACTGTAGCCCATGATAGATTTTAAAACTTAATTGTTCAAACACAAAACTCCTCAGGCTGTCAGGTAGAGGTCCAATCCTTGATCTAAACCCGACTAAATGCCTTCCACTTCCTTGATCTAGTAATAATCAACTTTTTTATCAACATCAGAAGTCTTGGTTGAGGTTATATACTGGAGTCGTAGCTGTCAAACCAATATCTTGCAATACATTGATCCCGGTGTCATGTTCTTAAAGGAAGCTTATTGGTTGCATTTCACAACGCCGCCTTTTATTTTGACCAAAAATTAATACCAGATCCTTTTTTGAGGTAACAGTGAACAGCAAAAATGTCAAGGACTTTCATTGTTATCCCTTTACATTGAAAAAGTTTAATCAGAAATGGTTGCATTTTAAGTAATTTTTTTCCATTGAAAATTAGCTGTTATGATTGTATCAGCTGCAGTAGTCGGTGCTGATTTCACTGTTGTTATTTTTGATTGTGATTGTTTTCTTATTCATTGTGGCATACAGTGCATGACATGTATAAACAAAGCTTATTCAAATAGAATACTGTCAATATGCAAGAAAGTCTACTGTACACATGAAATTGGAGAGAAACAGAGATTTCAATAGGACAAAAAAAATTGGAGAAAATCAGTTCTACGCTAGGTTTCATCCATTATTTTCATCATTTTTACAAGATTTGAAACAGGTCTACTCCTTTCAGTGATCCCTCAATATTCATTGAAAGAGTACAAAATAAAGTGATTATTTTTGTTATTTTTAGATCATCATTGTTTCTTTTTATAAAATTAGTCCACCACACTTCCACACCCAAACTCTTGCCTAAATATGGTCATGATGACATCACATCATGACCATATATAGGCACATCATGGCTATATATGGGTATATTGTACTGTACAACAGTTTTTTGTCAAAGAAAATTTGAAAATGTGAAAATTTTGAAAATTTGATAGTGTGGACAGAGCTTAAGTCTGATCTGTCAGACTTAAAAGTGTTTGGTCAGAACTCCATGGTCAGACATTGAACTACCATTGATTTTTGTATGTTAGTATTTAGACAAACCTGAAAATTTATGACATAGCCAGTAATCTCAAGGAAATTCATTTTATAAATAAACCTTCTGTACAGAAATCAAAGTTCAGACCTTATTTGGTAATCATTGACAAGTGTATTGCTTTCTACTTTGATAAGTTCACATGTATTTTTTTTATTTTGCAAGATATTTACTTTTAATGCGACTATTTCTTTACAGATTAAAATCACAAATTTGATTGTCAATTGAGAAATATTTTCTAATTAAAAACATTTTCAACCATAATTGATAATTACTGTATTACCTATAATGTCAGTGTTATCACCTATCTGTGTGGCCCAGATCCAGATGTTGCTTCTGTATCTGACACAAATTGATCTGAAAATGTTTACTAGAATATATTGAATTAAAAATGCATTACACTTGTTTTCTTGATTTGATTATTATTTTGAATTTTAAATTTTATAATTACATTCTGTCTTTCTCCAGGTGATCCTTCAGAACCAATGTCACCGGAACAAAATGATAAAGGTCCCATTAATACACGTGTCATAGCATTAGAGCGCCAACTAGCGATTGAAATGAAGGTGAAAGCGGGTGCGGAGAACATGCTTCAGATGTACTCATCTGGTTCCGGTAAAGACCGTAAGATGCTGGCTGAGGCCCAGCAGATGTTGCAAGATAGCAAGACAAAGATAGAATTCATTCGTATGCAATTACTTAAAGCAAACCAATCTCAGACTCCTTCAGGGAACACGAATGGTGAAAGACGAGAAAGTAAGTGCCAAAATACAGTATATTCTCGCGTATATAAGATGACACTTGCAAATCACGATCGAAAAACAGGGGGTCATCTTATATGCGCAACACGTGCATTATGTTAATTTTTAAATCATGTTCCTCTTACGTGCAGATTGTCTGTATCACTCATATTTACTACTGAAATTAGGCTACTACTGTAACTACCATAAAATGCTATTATTTGCAAGATTAGCCCTTCTTTGGCTCCAGTTTTAGCTAGATACAGTATCAAGACTATAAATAGCAGCAAAAAGTAGGAATTTCCGATGGTGAAACAGGAGGTGGGAGGGTGGGGAGTTGGTTGTCTTATACACCCAAAATACAAAAATTGTCCAAAAATCTTCTCAAAACTCGGAGGTTATTTTATAATTTATGCCAGTATGGTATATAAAATTTGTTGACAACTTGTTGAGTTAATATAAATGTATTATTTTCATTGAACAGTATAGTATGATATAATCACATATAATTGTATGGAATGATACAGTATCATCATAATATGTAAAAATAAAATATAATGTTCATATACTGATTGGTTCTATTCCCAAAGTATGTCTATATAAATGTAAAATAATATTTTCAAACACAAAGAAATTAAATTTAGTTGAGTAAGTGCATTGGCCTGTGGTACTTGCACAAATTACACAGAATGACACTCTTGTCAGCGACACTATTGTTAAATCCTATTGTACTGTTGCTGCTATTGTATGATTTGCTATTTCCAATCACTCCTCCTTCAAAGGCTTGTTAAAAACCAAGCATAAAGGCTTTTCCAGTATATGACTCATTGAATGATACAGAGATAATGGAACCATATCTTGCTGTGTTTAGGCCAGAATAAAATACAAACATGTTTTCTGCTCCCACCCATATTTTGGGACATTTACTTTTAAATATAGAAATAGAAAAAGAGAAATTTACATTGTTTTTGTTTTTAATCTATCCTGTCATGTCCTTCAAAATAGCAAATTTGATATTTATTGTAGGCCTATAATATGATTATAAATAAATGAATTTATTCTTTAAAAAAATAGTTGACAAGAAATATTTCTTAAAATTTGGCCTAATTAATATCTTGCTGAGTTATAATGGTCACACCCTATTGACAAAGGCCTTAACTTTGTACCATCTTGGTTTCAGTACAGTTATCTTACTTCCATGATTAGTCATTGTTTTATTTAGGACACGCCCATGATATAGGTAAATGCTCATGCAGGGTCATTCCATTATTCCGTCCCACATATTGGATTAACAATTTCCATTCAAAATACTTCCATACACATTTTCCTCAATATGTCCACGTTATTGTATTGTTATTTTTGTATGACATTGACAAAAACCTATTAGTATTAAACTAGATTTAGAGAATTGCAGGCCTATAGTGATGGTATTTAACAATGTTTTTTTTTTTTTATTTATAGTTTATAACTGGTTATTTTTTACATTGTTATTTTTAAAAAATAGATTAATTTTAACTTCATTTTATTACTTTGTTTTCCCAAACCATTTTATAGTTCATTGATTTAGAGAATTACATGCCTATAGTGATGATGGTATTTAACAATGTTTTCTTTTTTGTATTTATAGTAAATTTATAACTTGATTATTTTTTTTCTTTGTTATTTTAAAAAAAATAGATTAATTTTAACTTCATTTTATTACTTTGTTTTCCAAACCATTTTACATTGATTGCCACCTTTTGTGGGTCATAATAGTAAACTTTGATACATCTTTTAATCTCCAGGGTATCCTTACCAAAAAACCCAGAAACTCGCAGTCCCATTAACCTAATGTCAAGTCCATAAAATACACAAAAATAATAGCATTGTCTATAGAGGTAGGGAAAGGAGCAGTTATGTGGTTAAAGGCTGGGTGGTCAAGCTGTGTTAATACTGTATTATGGGTACCTGGCAAATGCATTAACATTTCAAACATGTACCTACTAATAATACTATGAACATGTGTAAGCAACAGCTATAGAGTAATACTACACTGTGTATTGATGTAGAGTCTTTCTTACCATTTGGAAATATAAATTCAGCAATATGACATTGTTTTGTTTAATTGGTAAGCTAAATATTTATTATATAATACAGTAAACCTATATTGTTTTTGTTTGGGGCATGCCATGTTAGTCCTTTATTACATCTAATTTATATTTAGTGGTACTAGATAGCAAATTAATCTGTAGTTGGTTTTACTGATGGTTTCTATAGCCTATTTGGCAAAAATGTGTGATAATTATATTGGGAAGGTACAGTATATCTGAAGTAAAAAAAAACTTTAATTCATTTTTCATGGTTTATATAAAGAAATATAAAGAAGTTCTTATAGGCCTATATGCTACACTTTAAACATAATAATCTTTCATTCTTATATAGTATAATGATAGTTTTTATGTTTTTACTTGAACTAACAGTTACTAGTTTTACTAACCTTTTTTTAATAAGAACCAGTACAATTTATAGAAAATTGTTATGGTATCATTAAGAGTTTATTATACCGTACTGTATTATAGAGGGTATTACATAATCAAACCTATTGATGCTTGATTTGTTGTTTTTTTCCAGTTAACTGTGAAATTGTAATTTCATATTTCCCTCCCAGTTTTTATAGTGTTTTTTTTTCTCATAAGAACTCAATTGACATTTTAACTCAACCTCAAATTGTTCTTATTTTGTTCTTTTATTTTCAGCAATCCCAGCTTCATTTTTCTTATAAAATGTGTTCTTTTAAAAAATAAGTGTACTTTGTTGACATTTGAGCATTTCTGACCTGTGCAGGCTGACATTAACCTTTGAGGTAAAATGAAGCTACAGTTTAATAATTGATTTTAATCGCTTGCAATTTTCCTGGATTTTACAGGTATAAAGCGGCCTTCAGCTACAGATATCTTGTTGAACCCAGTAGAATTTAGAATAGAAGAATTACGCCATCATCTACGAATAGAAACAGCGATATCTGATGGATTCAAGAATGTTATGAAGACCCTAGGAAGCTTGAAGACTTCAGACAGAAAAGGGTTGGCAGAAGTAAGTTGTTTATTCATATTTTAAAATTTTTTTAAGGTGAATCTTGTGGATCTTACGGAAAGGAGGTCACTGAACTGAAAATGAACCCAGAAACTTTGTCCAATCAAAGAAATCTGCTAATGGCCTCATGCTAACAAATCAGAGATCTAAAAAAAACAAAAAACTTTCAGAATGCTAATTGTCCCATTTAACTTGACCCTGGACTGTTGCTGTGAGACAAGAAGTGTCTAATGTAGCATATTATACTTCAAAAATATACCTTATATATACTCTCATATAAGACAAGGCTTAAAGTAGAAAATTACGATAAAAATAGGGGGTTGTATAAGTGTCGCATACAAATTTTAGGTCTTTAAAATCATGTTCCTCTTTTGTGCGACCATTCGTGACATTTAAATTTACTATTGCAGTGAAGCTACTAAATTGTTGGTAGATGAAATGCAATTTTAAATACCGGGAAATAAGCTTTTGATGAACACTTAAAATCACTTAAAAAGATTAGCCCTGCATTTGGCTCTGTTTTCAGCCAACTATAAATCCAGAAACAATGTATTGCTAAGCTCAACAATTCTCAGTTCTTAAACATTAAAACATGGGCTGCTACATTCTGCAGAGCCCTACCTACCGTGAGACTGAATCTGTAAAGAGCTGTAGTTGACAATGTTAGTCGATTAAACTCACATTTTTCTCACATTTGTAACGTGAAAAATATTGTCAACTTTGACTCTACAAATCAGGCCTATACAATGGTAAAGGAAGGAAAATTGGGTGTTTTGACTATTTTATGTAACCACACAGATGCTATTTGTGTCGGACAAGTGATTTAAGTTGATATATTTATAGTTTATAGCCATCCTGTTATTGATTAGAAATGAAATCAAATATCCTATGTGCTAAAAACTTGGCCAATTCTTTGGTTTTTCTCATAACTGAAAAACAACACCACTTCCTAAACTTCATAATGAAAGAAAAACCATTAGTCCCGTCTCCAAAAGCAAGTTTTAATGATATAAAATGATTTTATATGTTCCTTTCATTTTAGTATGCAAATATTACTACTTTTCTTTTTAACCAAATATTTCATTTAAAAAATAGGCTATTTGTGTGTCCTCTTCTAGTCTGGGATCTTTCCTACTAAACTTGGGATGAGGAAGTATAGTATAGTCATGAAGTGATGAAGTAATTTATAGGTTTCTCTGCCATGTAGTGTAAAGTTGGAATACCAGCTGCATTCCATAGTGAGTGTGTGATGTATGACATATGACCTACTCTGGGGATGACCCCTTTCAGATTGGCATTCACAGGAAAATGTCATTTTGGATTAATGATAATTCATGCCTTAATTTGCTTTAATTAATCCATAAGGAATTAAAAGTATCTCTGGAATGCTGAGGTGAAACAATCATCAGGAATGTGTATTGTACATACAGGCCTGTCTGTGTAGAGTTTTTCATTTAATTCTGTTTTATTAATTAATGTTTATTTTTTATTGTTTGATCTTAATTTGTATATTGTTCTAATATAATTTCTATGACTAGATGTTAAACTTTACTTTCAGGCAATTATAATTCATTTTGTGATTTTTCATTCTTGATGTTGCCAATTTGAATTTCCTTATAATAATGTTATGTTTTATTGTCTATAAAAGAACACATTTTGAAATTTAATTGTTATCTTCTAGGCACAAAAGGGAGCACAAGAATCAACACATAAATTGGAAATTCTACGACTTTCACTAGAAGCTCGACTCAAGGAGCTACCTCCAGATTCAGAGAACATTAATGTTATTAAAGAGGAATTAAAAACAGGCAGATCACAGGTCAGTACAATAGTTAGTATACCCAAATATGATAAGACATTGTGATGGAAGATAGATTGTCCTATTACTTTATCAGGCTCTAATGACATTGAGGAGTAGAAGAAATCTGTTGGCTTGAGGCCTTTAAATACCACTCTCCCAGTTATCACATCCTCTCGAAGATATCACTTTTTCTTCTCATTCACCAAAGCTCTTTGCCTGGTTGAAATTTCAGTCCCAGTCTAGTAAATCACTTCTTTCCTAGTCACACTTTAGTTAATCTTCTTGTAGTAATCATTTCAGCCACTTTCCAACTTATTCCATTCCCCTCTCAGTTATATTTTAGTTCCTTGTTATCCCTTCCTATTCATCATTTCAACTTCCTTCTCAGTTATATCACCTTTCCCCCTATTATTCTTCATCCTTCTTAATGATAAGAGTGAACTATTAGTATCTTTCTAATGCTCCTGTGAATATAAAATAGGCCTATAGTCATGTCATTTCTAATAATATACCATATCCTGTAAATACCTAAAAGCCACCTCATTATATCATTTCCTTAGGAAACTATGCACTTAAAACCGACATATTTTTATGATTTGAGTAGGGGATAGGGTTTGTAATTAAGGGGTGAACCATCCCTTCAAGCTCACTACATATTTTTTATGATTTAAGTAGGGCATATGGTTTGTAATTAGGGGGTGAACCATCCCTTCAAGCTTAACTAATCATTTAGGACCGGCTGCAAGGCTCTATTCTAACCAATTTTCTTCATGAGGCTTGTAAAGTGGAATTCAAAAAAAAAAAAAAAAAACTTGTCCAAGATTGAACTGCAGACCTTGTGATTATATGGGGAGCACCCTAATACTATACCATAGCTCTTATTTTCCAATATTAATAGTTATGGAATGTTTTGTAAATTTGTCAATTACTATGAAAAATGCACTTTGATCATTCATTCATGCTTTGGTGTTTTACATGTGTACATCATGGTTTGCAATCTTTCAGTAAGGAACAGTGCATAGAGACTTAGTAATTTATGCGCTATATATAAGAAAACATTGTAATTGAATTTTTACCATTATATCATCTCTCACTACAGTCTAGTTATTATAAAAAACTACCAGAAGTACCGTTTACTAGGAGGAAACAAATAAAAAATGTAAGGCAAGCTTACTGCATGTCCTACTATTGTTTAACCTCAAGGTCCACTCACCCTTGTTTGAGTACTACTTGTTTTGGAGTTCATATGTGTGCTGTGGTTTCAAGGGTTTAGCTTGGTTGACATTTTTTTTGTATGTGTGTGTATTCAGCTTAATCCCATTCCTCTTGTACCAAATTTAATTTCAAGGCTTGGGCACACCTAAACGTTTTTTTTTTTTTTAATTAAAAATAAAAATTAGAATATTATATTGAAAATATAGGATTTATAAGTTCATCCACCAATATAAATCCTAAGTGAGGACATTTTGATAAAACACCCTTACCTACACACATTCCCAAATACTCCCACTCAACTCGTTCTGTGTGTATGCCTATTGTTTGAGTGACATCCTTGTTGCCATGCCTATTGCAATAGCCACACCCATCACAATGTTGTACAGCAGCAACTGCCTATACAGAATTATATCTCATTAAATGGTGATTGCCAAACATGGTGGTTGTAATAATATTTTAATGCTATTTCTTCAATTTTATTCTTCGTTGAAGTTTTATTTTATTATGATATTAACTATATTTTTGCTTTGTTTTTTTCCCTTTTTATTATTATGGTTGATATTTATATTATTTAGTTCATTTAATTTAGCTTCTTCTGTTCTAACTCTTTCATTTAGCATTCTTTTTCTTAACACAGTATAGTGTGTGCTTCTTCTTACTACTACTGTATTTTTGTATTCTAATCTATTTTTTATATTATTTGTGGAGAGACTAGCTTTAGCTGTTAATATGTTGACTATGGTTTGTATATTTTAATATAGTCTGAAATACCACAATATTTAGTATGTACATTACATTAGTGTGGTAACAGTAACACGGTATACAGTGAAATCTTCATATACCGACAGGTCAGAAAACCGAATTTCACGCTTAACTGAAATTTTTTCAAGACCCAAAATCATTCCTATTCTTACCTTAATAAAATGGCATTCCGAAAACCGAATCCCTCCGAATTCTGGATGTATTATTTGGTCCAGAACACAAAAAGCAACCTTACAAACCGAACAAACATTTGATAAACAATCGATTTCCAGACGAAATAACGCAATAATCATCACTGTCCGAGAATTAACAACTAGGCCTAGCACACCACGCTGTGAATGAACCGTCTGTATGGCTTAGCTCTAATCCAGTAGAGTTGCCATTGAGATTACCTGTTGATAAAAACGACACGTTTATTTAATTATGGAGGAAATTTGTGGAGAATGAAATTTCAATTTGTTATATTTATTTAGATTTGACTCTTAAAAGAAAACCATGAGGGTTTCTTATTTGTTTTAATAAATCTGTTTAATTGAAACTTTATTGGTTACACTGAGCTTGTTTTAGTCACCCACTATGAAAGTTTGGGCGATCTGACGTCATCACAACCTTTTGGAGGTGCGGCCTGCCTGTTGTTTACCGTCCAGCAAGACCATCGTTGCTATGAAGAATGCGTTGTGTTTAGAAAAATATATCAGACGAAAAAATCCATGTAAAAACACTATAAAAAGCATCAATTATATTGATAATTAAATTTACTGTTTAGTACAGCCAAACAGCAGGTACTGTACGTATTAAATGTTAAATAATACTACTGTATTGTAGGCTAATCATAACAAACCCACAGGGGTTTGCTATGTCTAATTCAACAGATAGGGCCTAGCTGGCCTAACAAGCTTGTTTAGAAAGGGTTTGATAGAAATGTTTTACAAACCAAACTTTATTTAAAACCGAACATCGTAGCTGGTCCGGAGCGGGGTCGCTATTGGGAGAGTGCACTGTACTATGATGTACTTCTACTAAACTCTGTTGATTGGTAGAACAGTATATGGTGTACTATACCATGATGTTTTGCCTAGTTTTTATATTACAGAAGAATGAAACAAATGAAAATATGCTATTAATATAAAGATAAAAAGTATCTTAAGTAATTATACTTTTATAGGTGTAATTTTGCCCTACCTGACGTGGAAATGTACCGAATACTCAGTACATTTGAAAACAACTGCGAAAAAAATCGCAAGTTGTTCTCGGGTGGGACTCGAACCCACGATCTCCAGATCACTAGCCTGGCATCATACCTCTAGACCACTGAGCTTGCGCCTGATGGCTAGGGTTGAATTCGAGTCCAAGTAAGCAGCGGGTACTGCAGTATTGATACTAATTGTTATTGTTGTGATGGAATAATAGACAATAACTGGATTTGCGTCTGGAGAAACATGTATAGGTGTAATTTTGCCCTACCTGACGTGGAAATGTACTGAATACTCAGTGCATTTGAAAACAACTGCGAAAAAAATTGCAAGTTGTTCTCGGGGATGTATCCACCATCATAGTTGCATTGAATTGTTCTGTTTTTTTTGGATCAATAAATGTAAACTTTTTTCGCTCTGCAGTCTTCCATGTTACCAAAACAAACGTAAAAATTTACTATATTTAGATTTGGTCTACAATGTAATACCAACCTTTTACTTGGTCACCTGAGTACATGGTTATGTAACTAGGCCACCTCACCTTACTGTCAGATTTATTATGTAACTAGGTCACCTCACCTTAGGAACAGGGTTATGTAACTAGGTCACCATGGAAACATATTGCAAGTGTTTAATGGACATTAATGTGATTATTGGCCTTTGAGTGATTATCCCAACTGATAGAAATTCATGAATTTTGAGAAGAATGAGTTTACTTAAATATACCTTTCATTATTTATTCATCAGGTATTGTAATTGGATCCCATTGCAATTATACTTTATAGTACATAACAAAGTATTATTACTAATTAGTAGGCATATTTATTATTAAAGTGGAGTTTTTTAAGGAGAAAATCCTACATTCCATGGGGTAATTTTTATTAACAGGCCAGGGACTTTAACTACCAATTTCACCCAGTTATTTCCCACACTTGTGCTACAAATTCCTCGCAAGTATACACCATAAGTGCTGCACCTGCACCTCCCCATATGTTGAATATAGTGTCACAGTCATTTTTTTATATTTATGAGAGTTTGGACTGAAATAGAGGATGATTAATGCAGGCCTGCCTTAAATGATGTGGGACAGTTATGTTGGAACAGGAATAATAGTTTATTATTACAATAACTGATTTCTTAACTGATCTTAATACCAGTAAATCTATCATTTTTATTAGTATACAAACTAGATAGTAATTAACTAATTGCATGGTAGGTGTGTAATTAAATCTATATGTGTGTTGTAGTGAGTTAGCTGAACGAGGTCATTAAAGTGTACAGTTGTTATTGAGTATATTACTTGTAGATGAGATTATTATGTTCGTTAATGAAAGTGTTTTTGGTCATGTCATGAATCAGTCTGTTCCAAATTAAATTCCAATAGATCACAATCTCGTTGAATATTTGTTCTGATAATTAAATGTTTGTATTCAAATCTTTAAGTGTCAGTAAATATTGAATTTAGTGTCACATTCTTTGTTTTAAGTTTTCATATCTTCTGCTTTATATCCAATTCTGTTTATTTTCTTAGCATTTAATGCGGAACAAATATTCCTCTTTTAATCTACAGTCATATAATACGTTGCCAAAGCCAGCGGCCCTAACTGGGAAACTTGATGTACGTTTGATGGGTTGCCAAGATATCTTAGAGTTCTTCCCGAATCGATCCAAGCACAATACATTCCCATTTGGTACAAGTCCTGGAGAGACGAAAAGTCTTCTTAAGAGAAACAGCACCAAGTCATACTCATTGAAAGGGACAAGTGAAGAATTTTCAAGTAAGTATAATTGATCATCATCATCACCATCATCAATGTCATTTTTATCATTGCTATTATTATCATCATCATTAAATTGCAAATTCATTACATTGCAATAGAAACTTTACTTTATTGAACATTTTTGTCGCTGACGAGATTAGTAACATGTTTTCAAAACAAATATCAATGATGATTGATTGAGAATTTAAAAAAAATATTTTTGTAAGAACCCTAAAAAATTCAATTAAACCATCCAAATAAATGTTCACTTCCAATGAAACATAGATCGCAACAATTCAGTTTTCATTGATTAGACTACTTTTTACTACTGTTAAACAAATCCTTAAATTTATTACTACGTAGTATTTAAATCATGTACAGTATGAAAAGAATATTGGAATGTATTATTTATGAGTCTGTTAATTGAAAGGGTATTTCTTTTCATTCTACTTTTCAATTAAAATCTGCCAATTCAAAGTAAGTAGTTCATATATTAAGTTCATTCGCTCAACACAGAAAATATAAATTTGGCCTTCAGAAGGTAAACTAGTCTTTTATTTGATGTGGGGCTCATTCACAAGATTTTATGTATATAATATTGTTTTATAGATCCTTTATTATAATTTTTTCCCCTTTAAATGCTAATGCATACAATGTTAACATATTTTGACTCTTTTAAAGACTGGTATTATTAAATGAATCCAGAAATAATCAATATTTAAAACTGAGTTAGAGGTACAGGAGAACATTTAAAATGAAAATCCACTTTGGAGGTTTTCCAGTGAAAAGTTATGAAATTATGGTATATTAATGATCTTGAATATAACACAGGAACTTAATTTAACAGTAATGATAATATTAATATAAAAAAAAATAATCAAAATTATAACTAATTTCAGTATAAACAACAAGGATAATAATAGAATTAATGGATGAAATAGACCTTGTGGTATGAAGTTAAATGCATTTCAGTATCTCGTAAGCATCAAAACATCTATCATTACCATCCATACTATAAGTCATAGCCACCATTACTAACACAGCCTTTATTGATCATTGTCGAGTTAATTGCCAATTAGGCGTACATTTGACCTACATTTGAGAGTGATGATAAAGGCCTGTCTATAATCTATACACTTTCTGTATAATGAATATGATATTTTCTATTGTATGATATTAAATTATATTTAAAAAATACATGTATAATAAAGTATTAATTAGTAATCATTAACTGATATCTGTATTTTAGTCCTTTAACTTATCATACGGTACGTCATCTAGCTAGTGTAGCTAGGCTACTGTAGGTTGTCCACAGAGAATAGTAGGCTAGGGCCTACTAGTTGTGAGGGGTGGTGCCAGCATTTGTCTGATGGGGGTCCAGTGTCTCTGGTGCGCATGGTCAGGCGTCGCCTAAAGTCTTTTGAAATTAGTCCTTGTGGCAAAACCCCCAAAAATGTTAGAAGAGTTGAAAGTAGTAAAAAAAAAAAAAAAAAAAAAAAAAAAAAAAAAAAAAAAAAAAAAAAAAGACGTCAAGCAATGGACACACGTTCCCGCTGGGAGCCTATTTTTATACAGAAGTACCACATGGTGGTGCCATCGATGTAGGCCTAAATCCTTTTTAGGCACCAGCTCTACCAGTTTTATTAGAAGCCACCTTATATTTAAAGTACACTACTTTTACCAATACTGTATGTCACCACCCACCACATGTCTTTGCCAACCCTCAACCATATACATGACACTACTTCTATCCACTTAAATCACACATTCTTTATTTATCTAGGCTGCCCCATGTTTACATGCACTGCCCTTATTCATTTTACCACCCTGGTTTTTCTAGGCCAACTATTTAGTTACCATTCCTCATATTGGATTCCCTATAGTACATTTACATGCACTTTCCCCTATAAATTTATTTTGTCACCACAACATATTTTTCTAGGCTTTCCTACATATAAAAATGTACTTTCCTTACACTTTTTTTTGTGTGTATAAGAACCAGTAAAATTTTGCTCATGCTCAGTGTTCTTATATTTGGCCTATTTCATGCTGAAAATGTTATCATTTTGTTCTTATGTTACACACTTTTCAAACATAACAAATTATTATTGTAAAAAGTGGTTCCTGAAAAAAAGGCCCCTGAAAAAATAGCCAGAGAAAAAAAATGCCCTAGTAAAAATGGCCACAAATTACAGGTTGAACACCTACTGCACACAAGGTAGATATAATGTTTTGGGTTTTTTTTTTAATTTTTTAAATATAAAAATCTCTTTAGACATTTTACTTCAGCCTCAATTTGTTCTTATATTGTTCTTAATTTTTAAGCAATTTCAGCCTCAGTGTTCTTATAAAATGTGTTCTTATAAAAAAAAGTGTATCTACTGTTTGTAAAATGTACCAAGACTCCTACATTATACATCTACTGTCCCATATATTAGTCACCATCCTTCATTTATAAGTCTCTCTACATCCAATTATGTAGTAGCCAACCCTTGTTTATGGCTCCTTATGCACTTTGTCCATTTGCTGTACGTAGTCACTATTCCTCATACCTTGACTTGCCTACATTGACAAACAACTCCCTATCCATTTATATTTGTCATTACCCATAGTTCATAGTTATTTTTGTATCCACCACCTCCAATAATATCACTATGACAATGATGAACATATTAGTATATGAAGCAGCAAGGTTTATAATGCTCTCTAGTAGTTATCATGGTTGGATCAATTCCAAGTATTGTTCAAGGATGTAGCCCCAATTGACACTCAGAAAACTATTATTCCATGAACAACCTTTGGTTTTCTGGAATTGTGATAAAATAAATTACTGTACTTTTTCTTTTGTTGGTCTTTTTAGATATTTTTTCCTAATCACAACAAAAATATTGAACTTTGTTTTGTTATGACAGATATTTCATAGAATGAAAGGAAGTACTCTTTCTGTTAATTAGGTTATGTGTAATTTACACTGAAAATCAATTAAAGTTGAATATGAATACTTTACATATTTTTTTTAAAGAAATTGCATTAAGAGAAAAAAAAATTTGCTGTGAAACAATGATAATGTGAAATGTAGACAATTACCTTTTATAATCTTTTGCTAAGGTTAGATTCTCAGGTGGCTGGAATCATCTCATTCCTTTGCCCTTTGAGTTCCTTGTTTAAGGATCTTGAGTGGCATTTCTCTTCCTACTGTGTTATAAAACATGAACAATAAAACATTTAACAATTAAATCATTAACAGTAATGAAACAAATGAGCTAGGAAAACATTAGAACAAAAATTTATTAGTTAGAAAATAAACTACCATCAAACATGACATTTGAAGAAAATAGGTACCCGAGAAAAAACAATGATATAAAGACATTGCAAGTGAGTGAAAATTTAGTTCAGTTATAAAGAATCTAAAATAGCAATATGTAAATATATTTGAACAACATTTATTTAAAAACATAGTTGAAAAATAAAAAGGCAAGTGAGTGAACTTTTATGTAGATGAAAAGTGTTTTTATTCAATATTAATATTGCATTTAATTCAAATGATGTTTAAAATTAGTTGTGCCCGCATTTTAGTTAAAATAATGTATGCATCTATTATATGACAGTATCTATCATGTCAAATACATGAATCTACTGTACTGCTTATCCTACATGATGGGCAGCTGAAGTGAAAACAAAGGTGAGTAGGTGGGTATGTTCATGTAATATGGTTTTCAGAATGTGAAATGGTAATAAAAATTGTCTAAAATTTGTGTTCGTTTTAATAAATGATATATGTATTTCAAATATGGTAATGTATGTATACAATTGCTTTTAGCAGCTGCATACAGATATCGTAAGTTATTTATTTAGCAATATTTAGAATTATTGTTTGTATTATTAGAATCGAGGTCTAGTACAACGTGATGATATCACATCGGCTTAACGTGATGTGTATTGGATGTACTAAAATCCGTTAGAATTATAGATGATGTTAATGTTTATGAAAAATTGATGGCCTGTGTACAACGATGAAATATCGTAATGTTATTTGCATGAACTACAGGCTAATATTCATTCAAGTAGCATTGGTATTCGTGTAATATCTGGAAAACTTTCTTGGGATGGTTCAACATTACAATATTTTATATTTCAACTACTTTGAGCATCATCATATGATTATCATTGTCATTATAATCATCATCATTAAATATAACTACCATAATTTATAATAACTCATCATTTTTGTCTATTAATATAATAATGTGAGATATAAATATGATTTGTAAAGACATTTTTATAATAATATGATATATATCCCGGTAAATGATTTGTAAAAACATTCTTATTATGATATATAAATATGATTTGTAAAGACATTTTTATAATAATATGATATATATCCCGGTAAATGATTTGTAAAAACATTCTTATAATATGATATATAAATATGATTTGTAAAGACAAGCTTCATTGATTGTCATCGCTGTCATGATTATGATGATCATCATCAACGTCATCATCATAGTCTCATGATAATAATAATAATAATAATTATGAAAACTTGTAAAGCACCAATATCCGTTTAAGAGAAAACCCTTATGACTCCCCTCCACAAGAAGTCAATATATGACAGATAAAAGAAATAATGATAGTTTAAGGTCTAGAAAAAACAATTGTATTACATGAGCCGTACTTGGGTGAGCGTCACCATCGTATCACCATCAAAATTTAAATAACTATCTAGATTTGACCATCACCATCATTGTCATCATCATCATTCATCTCTGCTACTACCATCTTGATTTCAGCATCCGCATCAATAATATCATCACCATCAATAAAATATTTCTAGTCCTATTAAATTGATTTCCTTTCCCTACATTTATCCAACAGTGCTTCATTAACGTTTCATAAACTTGATATTATTATGAGATGCCCATACTGTATTGGAACTCTGCCTCCCAGGAATTTAGCAAACCTATAAATGAGATTATGATACTATGTAGAATTCATTAACTAATTATAGCAAGTGTGCTAGTTATTAAAATGATGCTGTGTCTATATTTATATTTCAGCCTCTGCCTCCTGAACAAAACAACCAACTTTTTTCTAACATCTTCCAGCACCGCTAACAAGCCGGTGTTTTTTTTTGTTTTTTTTTTCTTTAATAAACGCTTTAAAAATATGTTTATTATTATATATCTATTTGTCCAAGTCAACCATTATTAAATACATTATTTCCAGTATTTGACCATGAAATATTCAATATTGAAAGTGTTTTTTAAATCAAATTTTAATTATTCACACCTAAAATCACTTGATTTGAAAAAAAAGTATATAATTTGCATAATGTAGGGTAGTCACAAACTAAAATTGTTTGTTATTGTTGATCATGAAAATTCATATAAATTATGATAAACAATTTAACATCAATAAATTATGAGGATAAATAAAATAATTCAATATACTATGATAAAAAACATAGATGGATAAAAGTAAAGTAGTGATTTTTAAGCAATATATAGTAGAACCCCTCATTTACGTACGGCATGGGCCTGTCAGGAAAAATTTGGTCCGGGGCCAAAATCGGTCCACCGGACCGATTTTGGCCCAGCCAAATATAGTCCACATAAGCCAAAACCGGTCCGGCGTCTATTTAATAGTTATAACTCGTATTTTTATAACGTCGTTCATATTTTTTGTAATCAAATGATAGATAAATATCTTATCTCTTATTATCTCTTATTGTATAGCCTAATATGTTTTCATTCGTTATTGAATCATAGGTGAAATCACTGGTGAAAATTAAGTAAAGCTTCACGCCCATCATTAAACCATTTGGTGTAAAAGTACGAAAAGAAGTTAAACGATGTGGTCTTAAATCGTGTTGGTCCGCTTTAGTTCATTTTTTACCTTGTTTTGTTTTGGTTGTGTGTGCAGCTTATCGCCGCGACGAAGTACATGCAAGGAGGTATAAAATATTTTTATATACCTCCTTGGTACATGCATTCAATTCTGAGAATGCTTACTCCTTTTTTTCATGTATTATTAGAACCTATTGTATGACCTAATACCCCACACAATAATAAGGAATATTTAAAACTAATAAATTAGTCTTGTGTTTCATTTTAGGCCTAACCATCGGCCGCCGAAAACGATGCACGCTGTGTGTATCGCCTAGGCCTAGAAATGCATTATCTGGTGGTTTGATAAAACACTTCCTCAAAAGCTTAACAAATCAATCTGTCACTGCATAAGACTTTGCAAGTGTGGAAGATGCATACTTTCCTCCACTCCACGGGAGAAACAATCATACCCTACGAGCAGCAGACGAGTTACAAATGAAGTGGCCAGGCCGACGCGGACCAATTTTATCCAAGCGGGACAGGTTTTAGCGGCTAAAATCAATCCTGAGGACCGTTTTTAGTAGTCCGGCGGACCGATTTTGGCGGCCAAAATCTGTCCGCCGGACATTTTTTGGTCCGGACCAATTTTGGCATGACAGGCCCAGAGCCGTTCGTAAGTTCGGGTATTCGTAAAATCGGGGTTGACCCAAATTCCTATATATTTGCACTGGTACTACTTACACTGGCATAATCTAGGCCTAGGCTAGGCCTACAGGCTTACGCAGCTAAGTCTGAGGGGGCCTAGGCCTACAGTAGGCAGCTTCTAAGCATTCTCATCCCACTCTAGGCCCTACACAAATTTGTTTATATTGGACATTTTTACCTTCTTAAATACCTAGATTGTGGATTTTACTCCAACACAACTTCCATAGGTACTTTTTTATTATATATATTGATCATTCAATAAAACAATCAAGGATTATGTTGAATTTTAAAGCTGAAAACGATGTTTGAAAGAGAAGTAAAATTTGTCGCATGCACATGTTGTGAAGCCATAAAAAACACTGACTTTGAAGAGGCCCGTTAGAGGGCCTCCTTCACTTGAGAATTACATAGTACTGTATAGTATGGGGTGTTGTGCATGCTAATAACAGTTACAATTCGAGCGGATTTTTTTAAAAATCTTTCACTTCAATTTTTATGACGTCATCACCTTTATATTACATTCGTAAAATCGGGAATTCGTTAAATCGGGGTTCGTAAATGAGGGTTTCTACTGTAATATTTTTAAAAAGTTGAAAAGCCTGAAAATAAAATATTGCATATTTTAAGTTTGAATTTCTTTTAGTACCTGATATTAATAAACATTTTTAATACAAAAACTTTGTTTTTGTTTTCAGATGAAATAAGTTGTGTATTAAAACTGGACAGTGTGCACTATGGACAGACAAATTTCAAGCCAATTGGAAATCAGTGCTGGGACACAAGGTTTCTGATGGATCTGGAGAAAGTAAGTTAGCTCTGTGAAAACTATCAAATGTTATTTGACAAAAACATGTGACATGCCTAAATATAGTCATGGTGGCATCACATGACCATATATAGTCACACCATGACTATATATGGGCAGACCATAGTTTTTTGTCTAAGAAAATATGATAATCTGGACAGAATTTAAGACATTCATTACTCAAATAAATTGAGGCAAGGACTGAACAATAAATATAATTGCAATATTATTATTAGTAATATTAATATAGTCCTCTTCTGTTTATAGCCAATGTACTCAGGCATTTCCAGCAGTTCTTTCTTAAATAATGTGGCGACTTTATTAATCCGAGGTATTCCATATTAAGTCCATGCTGTGGTGTTACAGACACGTAGTTGTTATCTCTGATAATTTGCATTTTTATTTCCCTATTTATTTGATAATTTGCTTGTAAATAGCACTGTCACAGCTTTTCTTATTATGTTTAAGATTTAGCTATCTCTTAAAGTTCTGTCAATTCTATCTAACTTAGGCGAGACTCTTTTTATTCCTTGTTTCGCATACTTATTTTTTTTAAAGATTATCGGAGGAGGGCGGAATAAAAATAAAAATAAAATTGTGTTTTCTTATTTAGCAAATAGTTTTGCCAAAATCATCCAGACGGAGGAGATAAAAAGAAAATTATATGTGAATATAAAATACCATGGTTAAATGCTTCAAATTTATATAATTAGAAAGAAATATCTTATCTTTGGAGATTTCAAGGCCGCGGAGAACGTAATAAAAATAAAGAAAAACTTTTTTTTCTGAAATTTCCACTATTTTGTGACGGCGGGTGCGCTAATTGGCCAAAAATAAAATTTTATTTTTATTCAAAATAATCAATATTTGCAGTTGGCGGGTTTGCTAAATGAACTGTTGTTTTGTTTGGCCAAGTAATGCTGTGTTATTTGCTATATTGCCCTTTTTAAGCAGTTTAGTCTGTATTACTAATATATGGACTGATATTTAATATATAATTCAAATATCTCTCTTAGCAATTACAAGTGTGTCAAAAGCTTCATTGAATTCTGGCATCTTCAGCATATTCAAACCATTACAGTGTGTTCTTTTTTTTTTTATATAATTTGAACAAACAAGTAATCTTGTTACCACTATGGACGTTAAATGATGTTATTAACATAGTTATCTTGTCTCTAAATCATAGGGATTATTCCAACTAAGCTACGTAGAAGATAATAAAGCACCGAAGAATGATAAAATGTTTTTATGTACTGTAACCAAAAATAAAAATTCTGAAAAAAAATATTCTAATGTAATCTTGTTATTGTCCCCCCCCCCTCCCCAGGCTAGGGAGCTTGAGATTTTGATTTACTGGAAGGACTGGAGGCAGCTTTGTGCCCTAAAGTTCTTGCGGTTAGAGGACTTCTTGGACAACCAACGACATGGAATGTGTCTACAGTTAGAGCCCCAAGGCATGCTTTTTGCAGAGGTTAGTATTACTTACTAAGCTGCAATTATTATGTGCATTTAATGCGGTTAGAGAGAGCAGCGTTGTACCCGGTACAATTCCATTTACTTCTCTCCCTCTATTTCAGCTGGAGAGTTGAAATACAATTATAAAAACATGCCCGTCTTTGGGAAATGTTGTTTAAGCTGTAGCTCCTTTGTGCAGTATTGCCCACACTTTTCTGGGTTATCCTTGGTGTTCACTGTCACTGTAAATCAACATATTTTTATACAGGATAAATTATATCTTTTTCTAGGTTACATTCCATAATCCATCAATAGAAAGGAAGACAAAGTTAACACGTCAAAAGAAACTCTTCAAACACAAGGGCAAGAATTTCTTAAGACCCGGCCAGATGAATATCAATGTAGCAGCATGGGGTCGACTAATGAAGCGAGCCGTGCCAACCACCGCAGGATGCACATCGCCAACAACTTTCAGTCCGACTGAGGACCTGCAATCTGGTACGGTGTTCTCAAATAAGGATAAGCCGCTGGTTAAGAAGCTCAGCTTCGATGAAGAGGTACAACCACAGAAAGAGTCCCTTGTAAGTCCAGGCTCACCCATCCCAGTGAATTCTACAAGAAAATCAGCTGACGTGGAGGTAAGTTTTCTTACATACATACAAGTAATTTTAAACATGAATGATATTTTTTGCATTTTTGAAATGTATTAATTGCCATAATCTAGTAAAAAAATGCATTTAAATTTGTAAAGATTGCAGTGAGTAGATGCTTACAGTTTTAATCATGACAAAAACATTGAAAATTTTAAAGTAGTCTAAAAAAGCAATTAATTGTTGTTACATAATTTTATTAATTATTATTTAAATTTGTGAAGATTGCAGCGAGTAAATGCTTAAAGTCAAGATTGAAAATGCTTTTAAAGTCAAGATTAAAAGTAAATGCTTCCAGTAGTATGATAATTACATGATGAATTATACAGTAAAAGAAATTTTACAGTATAGTTTGTATTGTCATTTCTGTCTGATCTGGTATTATCACATCACATACCCAAACCTATCAAATTTGGGCTCACCACACACCATGAGTCACCTGGTCCATAGAGCGTGTAATAACATTCTGTTGGAAATTGCATGTTGTTTTTCAACAGCGAATCTTGCAGTGCATTAGACTATTAACATATAATGCATACATAATTTTCTCCGCGGTTAATACCCATCATGGACAACCTGGCCCCAATGTTTATATTGGATTGTAATTACGGGTCGGATTCTGTTTAGGACCATTTCATCTAACTTAATGTGATTCTCGGGGGAGAAGCCGGGATTGTAATCTCTAGTCAGCTGTTGTTAATTGCATCGTTACGTTGTTTGAGAATCTTTAAAACGATTATGCATGTGTGATGAGATACAGCATTTATTTCTGCATTTTAATTTAATATTGAGAGGTGCATGAATGTAACATAAGTACCTAAATATAATACATTTTATTGTTACATACAGTATGACATGATTTACTTTATGCAAAATTTATGACATTATGTTTATGTTTTCTATCATTCGGTAGTTCATATAAACGCATAATTATCTAGTTTATAGTGATTATTTGCGTAACAGAGGTTTTTCAAAAAGCCCGGAGGCTGAAAATAGTTGCCATTTTAATCATGTTTTTTTTAGCAGTCATCTCTTTCTCAGATCTATCTCCATCAAGTTCATCTGTGTAGAAGTTACGAGAATTCATTTGTTAAGTGTTTATTGGAGAAAAAAAGTTTGGAATCATCTTTTGAATCTATGTAGATTATTATCTTTAAATTCGATCTTTTAATTTAAAGAAATTTTGATTTTGCATGCTATCTTGTACTTGTATGATTTTTTTTGAAAAAAAAAAAGCTTATACAAATATATAATCATAATAATTATATTAATGCTTATTTTTGCAATATCAACTTAAGTGATAATTGAATCTGCATGTTTGTTTGAAAATGGTTGCATGTTTATTAACAATAATTAGAACCCTCAATCAACTAATTAAGGGTTCAGTCTAATTTATGATGGACACATATTGTGATTATAAACTTGGACAGACTAATAAGAAGATAAAAATCTCGAACATAAATTCACTGAAAAATGATTCCAAAATTTTCTTCCCAGTATCCAGAGTATAACTCTATCCTGGATTCTCCCATTTCCGACTCGTTTCTGCAGGATGCACTCAAGGCTTTTGATTTCCTAAAGGATTCGAGCACAGAGCTTATCGTCCAGCCCCCAGAACCAAAGACACGTGCTAAGCAGCTGATGACGTCGACCCCGGCAAGACCTCAGCCAATCCCCAAACAAGCTGGAACGTTGGAATGGTGAGATTGATTTTATTGGTTATGGCACCTAATCAGAGCGTGGTTTGCTGCTAGCTTAATCCTGCTTTCCTTAAAATTGTTAAACTGTCGCTACAGTGTTTTCAGTGCAATTGTACTGCGTAGCCGTACGGGAAGGCTCTTTGATTCAACTGACCAATCAGCATCACTCAAATCTGTCAGTGGTAGAGTGTAGCGATTGTATAGAAACCAAGCTTTACAAATCCCAAAGTCTTGGGTTCAATTGTCAGGGTTTTTCTTTACCACAAAACACAACTCTGTCAACCTCATAACATTTGGTTTTAGAGCATCATGTACAGTATCTCAAAATAATCATCTTTACTGTGGAATATATTCTTTTATTATCACCAAATTCTTAATTTTCCTTTCAATGGTCTTTAACTTGTTGGATTAATTAGTTAACATTTAATTTTAACTCACTGATAAAATTGGAAAAAAAACCACCCCAAATTTAGTTGCTGTGTATATTTATTAAAAGTTATTCTTTTAAATGGCAATTAAATGAGGTTTTTCTTAATTTTTAGATGGAAATATGTCTTCATTGATTTTTCGAAATATAGTCCTGAAGACGTATCACATGTGTGTAAATGAAATAAACAGAATAAAATAATAATTAAAATAAATTCTGTGGTTGCTGAGTAATTAAATGTTCGGAATCGTTTGAGTAGGTAATAATATCAGATAAATATAAATCTTGTTTTAAACATTGTTCACATTATTGTGACGTGTAGGGAAAACAGTATTCGGCTTTAAATTTGTTTTGTTGTTTAGTGTATAAATTCATGTGACATTTGAATGAGTGGGTCAGGCAGACTGTACATCAACATTATTACAATTCACTCCGACTCTGCAAGTACAAAACATCAGTCTCCTGCTAAACTCCTGTCTGATGGTTGTGATTTATTTATTTATTTATTCAATCATCCAACTGCATGCACGCTTAACCAAGAACATGATGGAACGATGTTCATTAGAACATACGTCTCTAAGCTTTAAGGAATGGATAGTATAATCTCTTTAAAAACTCATATGTCTACAACAAATCAATTTAAACCCAGGTAGATATTTCTCCTGTGTCATAAGAATGTATTTATTTTATTGTTATAAATATAGTTAAAAAACAAGGGAAGAATTTACATCTTTCATGTCTTTGTGATTTAGCACTTCTTTTTTAAAGAGAATCTATTAATAGTGTTGTTTTCAATGTTTACTTTGCACGGTTCATGTTGAGCAGGCTGAAAAGGTTACCATTGTGAGAGAAAGTTAAATAAATAATTAAATAAATGAGATTTTTTTTTATTGTGAAAAATAAAAACCAGGTGTTCTACATTATTTGAAATTCTTTGATTCTTGTATATTCCGGTGTATAAGCCGCACCTGTGTATAAGCCGCTCCCCTCCCCCCCCAATTAGGACCTGAAATATCACAATCTTTTGTTTCACCTGTGTTTTTAGTTTAGTTTTTAGTTATTTTGAAACATTGACATTATTTACAAATGTTCACATAAAGAAATTTCATCTTTTTTGGCCGATTCTTAAACAACAATAACTGGAAATGCGTGTAAACTTCTGGCTACTGCAATGAAACAACGTATTCTTGCTCTAGGCAGCTCTAGGGAAATCCCCATTTCTTGCTAGACAGTCGTGCTATGTTAAATTTTCAACATCAGTTTAGTTTAATAAAATAAAATACTTATTGAGTATATTTATCTATTTTAAACAATCATTTCTTTTTATTATGGTGACTAATAACAGTCGGTATTAGGCTAAAAATATTGGTAATTCTAGGCCTCAGTCATTACTACTCACAGCCCACTGTGCGAAGCATGCACCATAAACATGCTCCATGTTTTATAAACAAAAACAGAACTGGAGAAATATCGTGTGATACAAAGTTTACACATGTACAGATGATGTATGTCTTTCTACAGTTAAATTCCAGTAAAATAGTTATTACAACTTCAAGAAAACTCATGTTTTTTATTCTAAAATTATAGTGGTAACAATATTCTCTCTATAACGGTACAAGCCACCAGAAACCAGACGTCAAACAGCAAGTTTCACCAGCCCATGTGTGTTTTGTTGCAACATCGTAAATGAAGCTGCTCACGTGACTTTGAAGACCGTTTTGAGCAAAGCGGTTTCGAACAGAAATGTCAGCGTGTTTCAAAATTGTTTATGAGTGAACGTAATAATGAAAATAATTATTTAGACAACCCAAACCATTGCTTGAATGTCTTAGAAAATGTAGTAGGAATCCTAGAACAGCACTGTAGTGAGTATAATTACAAATATTAGGCATACAAACTGGTCCTACCCTAGGCTTATTAATTGGGTTAGCATGGGCCTAACCTAAACAGACGGCACTTGATTTTCGACGCGGCTCGCGATCTGAACTTTTTGGGAGTAGGTTAATGACCAATATATAGGCCGCACACCAAACTTCGGGGGGTGGGGGATCCCGTATAAAATTTACGGCTTATACACCGGAATATACGGTTCATTATAACTACTAAGCTCTATTTAATGACAAATTTTTTTTTCTTCATGTTAAAAATTTCTTCTTGCATATGATATTAACCCTTTCCAGTTGCAGTGACGCTTTAAGCATAATTTATAGAGTGGCCGTTGCTCAAACACCCTTAGTATTCCATTATAGTCATCTGCTGTGTTGCCTTCAATAGTAACTTTTGAAAATGAATTGTTTGGTTTTTGACTTATAGGGTCAGAGTTCAAAATAAAAACAAAATGACTATCCACCCAGTAAAAGAGTATGTTTGATTTTGGGATGGGATTGTTTATTAAAGGGAACGTGGCCTCGCAGCCGTACTTATTGGAAAGGGTTAAGAATATATTTGATATATAAAATTAATGTTTGAATATTGATGTTAATTTTCTTGCAGTGCTTCAATTGTGATGTCTGATTTCCGTTGCATAAGTGTCCTAGGACGCGGACATTTTGGGAAAGTGTTGTTGGCAGAGTACAAGAACACTGGTGAAATGTTTGCTATTAAAGCCTTAAAGAAAGGAGACATTATTGCCAGAGATGAAGTTGAAAGGTCAGAATTTCATTAATTTATATTACAATAAGTGTTCCCAAGCTATGTGTGAAATACTGAGATTGATGATGATAGTAGTCATCCCATTTTTGTTATTATACAGCTTTAGTTTTTCACGCTTAGTTAATCAGCTGCTATCCATGTCAATTTCTATATAAAATCTAATTATTATTTGTTACTTGGTTTTTTTTAATAATTTCTTTTCAAAATATTCTTGATTTTTAGTTTGCTATGCGAGAAACGGATCTTTGAGACGGCAAATACCCAGAGGCATCCATTCCTGGTCAACCTGTTTGCGTGTTTCCAGACGGAGCAACATGTTTGTTTTGTTATGGAGTATGCGTGCGGCGGCGATCTTATGATGCACATACACACCGACGTGTTCTCAGAACCACGCACAGTGTAAGAAGTCAGGAGTCACTACTTAAATTACTTAGTTAATTAGATTTAAAATATTATAATTAAGGACTTAAGTAGAACCAATTAATATGGTTAATTATAATTGCCCTCCAATAATAGAAGACCAGCTCTGCATTTCTTCAAGCCTAATAGTATACATTACATTGAATTTGCTGCTCAAATGACCAGTAAACGACCTATTTATAGATCATCGATGGTCCCAAATGATCAGCTCTAGAAAGTTCATCCTTAAAGGGGAAATTAATTATTTGTCCCAACTGCGAAGTGTGTGGGCTTCTTGTGCACCTCTCTTGCGTTGGATACTGCTGTGAAATTGAATCTGGTACACTGTATGAGATTTCTCCTATGGATTATGATCAAGCTTTGTTTTATCTGCAGTTTGTTGAAGTGAAAAGTTTGTTAATTGTTAATAATCACAGGAGACTGAAACTATCAACGCCCACTCAGAGTGCTATAATCATATAGCTAGTTATCAATCTAGCTAGTTATCAATCCACCTCCGTACTTGCAGTTTCTGTCTTCCACGCTAGATATTTGCATTTTACACATTGAACATTTAATTACCAAGAGTCATATATCTGAAAAGAAATAATTATTTGTTATATATATTGCAGTGGTCAAATAATAATAATAATATTAATAATAATATTAGTAATTATTATTTTTTTATAAAACGTATTTTCACATTTACATCTGTTCAAAGTGCTTTACATTAAAAGATGATAAAATACAATATTAGAATAGACAACATTACATAATGAAATTATAAAAATATTATCGGTATATAGAAAGACTACAAAAATATACTTATTATTATTAATTACATCATTAAAATAATTAAAAATTTGGAAATTCACTATCAAAGAAAAATAAATATATTTAATTACCTTACAAACGATAAAAAAGATGATGTATGAACTAACTTCATTTTAATGATTTCTACATTTGAAACTTTTCTGTGCATTGTTAGTCATTATTTATTTATTGGGAATAGTGGGAATGAATAAAGAAAATATTTACATCAGACTCAAACCTCCGGATTTCAAGGATCTCTTAACTAAATATTTTAATAACAAATAATAAGAGACGAAACTTATTAACAATATATTGGGGTTGTTTTTTTTTTAGAGAAGCAATGAAAAATAGTAAACAAATAACTCTTGCTTAATCTGTCTTACGCAACTTATAGATGAAAAAGTTTTACCTTGTCTTCAAGTGGATTGGGAATTGAATCTTCATGGATTTATAGACTAAGGAGTTAAAACGTACATGACATTTTCAGTCGCTAACAGCTACCATTCTCAAATGACTGGATGTCGTCAGTCGGCAATCTGTGAATATGAAGATTAGTTTCTACATTTTAAAAAGGTAGCTGTTAGCGACTGCAACTGTTCTGAGAGCTTTCACACATTCTCTGTCAATAAATCCAAAAATAAAAATAAATCCAATTCCTAAGGGTTATTTCATCCATTATTTCATTGTATTTATGTTATCCTTATTTATTATTTACTTTAAGTCTATGTTTAAAGGAATTTCTACTTGACAAGCTTTTCATGCCCCTGTCCCATATTTATGCCATTCTTTTATAATTGTTATTGAACATTTTAGTGTAATGAGACAGATATATAAAATTAATTATATAATAATTGTCATCTAGTATATATGAATGAAGTAATGACTGAATACATTAATGGATAACTGAATTCAATAAATCAATGAACTAATTAATATATGAATATGATTATATATATGCATGTTTATATAATATGTACATATACAGTATATAAACTATATGTGTCACAGTATTATATAAAGAAACATTTCCATCAGTGAATTATGATACTACTTTTTTCATAACAGGATTTAAACCTGTGATTATTACCATTACTCTGCTTATTCTCACACACAATATTCTTACAAGACACATTTTCCTTAAGGTATTGCATAATATGCAATCCAATAAGAACAGCTTGAAAGCATAACTCAGTTGGTAGAGTGACTGAATAGTAGTCATATGGTTGTAGGTTTTATGAAAAGTAAATGAGGATGTGTTATATATTATTTTAAATATAGTGTTGAATGGAGGATAAAGCATAAAATTAGTACTTATGTAGCTCTACAGTGACAAGCTGTTTTCTATTTATTGTATTATATGTTGAGAGATAACAAGCTGTTTTATATCTTTTCAGTTTCTATTCTGCTTGTGTTATCCTTGGCCTTCAGTTTCTACATGAAAATAAAATAGTATACAGGTATGACAAGCCAATATTTTAATACATCATTTATTTCAACAATTTCTAGTATGTTAAAATATGTGTAAAATGAGGGTTAATCCAATAAGTAGTATTAGCATAACCTTAATGTATATATATCTTAGATATAATTGAAGCTAAAAGATGTTTCTTTGGTTCCCATTGCCTGAATCTTCACCTTTTTCATCTGCAGGGATTTGAAGTTAGACAATCTTCTACTAGACGCTGAAGGTTTCTTAAAAATAGCTGATTTTGGCCTGTGTAAGGAGGACATGGGTTACGGCGACAGGACCAGCACTTTCTGTGGCACACCAGAGTTCTTGGCCCCAGAGGTATTGACAGAAACATCATATACCAGAGCTGTTGACTGGTGGGGTCTTGGAGTCCTCATTTATGAAATGCTGGTTGGAGAAGTATGTAGTGATTTATTATGTAATCATAATCATCATCATTATCTTCATAGCCATCTTCATTGTAAAATCATCATTATCACTAATTTTATCACCATGTTTATTATCAACATTCTCTCCATCATTGTCACTCTTATAATACTAATAAATGTATTAACCAATTTCCAGTATGGCGTATTGGTACCAATTAAAGGAAGTTGGTAGTCAGACTTCAAATGTGTTACCTTCATTATTATCATCATCGTCGTCATTGTCATCATCGCCATCACTTATAACATTTCTTTTATCATTTGTATTCACTGTAGACATGTTTTGAATCCATAAATTCTCAATAAGTTACAGAATGATCTAGTGAAAACTAAACTAATTATCATTGATTTCCAAACTTGTTGTGCATGTATAGTTATTCAAAATTAAACATGTAGAATAAGCTGAGATTGATTTTTTCGAACACTTTTGTAGTCTCCATTTCCCGGTGATGATGAGGAGGAAGTATTTGACAGCATAGTGAATGATGACGTACGCTATCCTAGGTTCTTATCAAGTGAAGCAATGGCAATTATGAAAAGGGTAAGTCTTGAATGCATCGTATGATCTAGTTAGCAATTCAAATTATTGTATCCGAATTTCTAGAACTCAAATCACAGTGATATTCTCATGACATGCATCGTTAGTGAGGTCATATCAACATTTTCAAATACTTGGGTACTATACCAGGGTTTTAGGTAGCCAAAAAAAAAAAATTTAACAATTTGGCTAATGTGGTATGAAAATAATTAGCCAAAATAGAAATTTGATTAGACAAAATGAAATAATATAAGCAGTGATAGCTTCAATTCCATTAGCTTTTTGACTAATTTTGAATGAAAATATTTAGCAAAATTCAGCTTTCATTAGGATTTGCTATTTGGCTAATGACAGCTTAAACACTGCTATACTTCATGATAATCTTCTTGATAAAATGTGCCTCAGTTTGTGATGAGAGACTTCAGATAATTTGTTGTGAATAATGTAGAGTGCTTTATGTAATTCAAACTATTCTCTATAACCAGTCACACATGAGAGTGTGTACAGTTCACCAGGCATAGAGTGAGGAATACCCTGTAATGTGGAATGTAATTTTTAGATAATTATTTTAATATTCCTTAATTGTGCATAGATAGTACTATGCTTTATAACCAGTCACAGGTAGTGTGTGTACAGTTCACCAGGCATAGAGTAATGAATGCCTGGGATGTGAATTGTAAAATTATATAATAATATTATTCCTTAATTGTACATAGATAGTAGGTACTACTGTATGCACAAGTACACAGACTTGGACCAAATGATTTGAATCAAAGATAAACCGTACCTTGCCGACATCTAATATACAAATAATGAATGTTTATGAGTAGAGTAGGGTAGACTATTTCATGAGGTGGAAGATTGGATGTTCTATTCAACGAGGTGTTTCAACGATTCGGCATTACTTTCATTCAGTAATTCTTCAAAACCTTATTCGCTCAAAAGTACATATGAACCAGTACCGAATGAACCTGGCATTTTATTGGCGTTGACTAGTACTCCAATAACCATGGAATAGTCATTTTATATCAATTCATGTGACCTGTTTTCATCCAATCAAATGAATAGAATTTATACAGGTGTTGTATAATGGTTTTTATAAATGTTTTTATGGGTAGCTACTAAGGCGCAATCCAGAGAGACGACTAGGAGCTGGGCCACGAGATGCTGAAGACATTAAGAAGCAGTTGTTTTATAGGGTAAGTTGAGTAAGGAGTGCCTGAGTGAGATAAAGCTTTGTAGATTGGAGGCAAGTGTGATTATTGAGTAAGGTTTTTGCAAAAAGGGTGATATATTTAATTTATAGATAAGTAGTAATTATACAGTAAGTGTTTATCATTGACACTGTATAGTTAACAAAGTGGCATGGAAGATAATTCGACATTGACAAATTTTCTACTTACTGGTACGGGCATTTAAAATTCGCCTTTTCTTTTTGGTTATAAAGCGCAATTGTTTTCCCTGGACATTGGGTCCACATGCTTTAATTGTTGCTGCTGGTAATCAGTGCAGGAGCACGCAACCCCCAACAGGTACCCATTTATACTCATGGGAGAAGCAATGCAGATAAAGTGCCTTGCCCAAGGACACAAGCGAAATGCACAGCGAGGGATTGAAACGCCGAGGTTGAGAAACCAAACCATTCCAGCTCCGCCAAACCACTTCAGAAATGCTTCTAGGCATTTGTTATTTAAGGTTGTTTTGTTTTGTAATTACTGTATAATATTTTTTAAAGATACTTAAATACAATCATCATCTTTTTAACAGAATATGAAGTGGGAGGATCTGTACTACAGACGTTTGGTACCTCCATTTGTTCCCACTGTTGTAAGTAACTGAAATTATTTTAATTAATTCGTCTATTCCTTCTTAAAAATAAAAAGATCTATATAAATGTATTTATATCATGTATTTTACCTGAAATCAGCAGAGAAACTTAACTTTATACAGCAATTATGCTTTTTGTTTATCCTGTCTCTGACTTTTGGTCTGTTTTAATTTTTATTATTTGTAGACGAAATAAATGAAATTGAATGAGTCATCTATTTTATATTTTATCTAATTTTGTATATTTTCTAAATTGCCAGTAAAATGTGTACATGTAAATGAAAAACAATTATATAGAAACAAAAACATAATTTCTTTGCTTTTTTAGCGGTCATCTGAGGATGTTAGCAATTTTGATGAAGAATTCACCTCAGAAATGCCAATCCTTACACCTCCAAAAGATGCACGGCCTGTCAGCAACGAGGAGCAAAACATCTTTAAGGATTTCAACTATATGGCAGACTGGTGTTGAACAGTATTGGCTACCAGTAACTCATTATTTGAAGTGAAAGAAATTAAATAGCGGCATTAATTGAATAATGAGGTCAGGCCACCATTGATCGGTCTATTAGTACCTACAGTAGCAAAAACAGTGTTTATGCCTGCCTCCTTGAGGTGAGAAACACAGTACTATTACTAAACAAGTTCTCTTGAAGCAGGAAACATGCCTACTCTCTAATGATGAGAAACTGAATTCTTTGCCTATTGGAGGATTAGGGAAGGTGAAAGATTGTATGCCTGGTCTCTATAGACCACTTTGGTTGATGAGAGTTGGGAACCTAAATTTGAAAATATTAAACATGGAAACAACAGCATATGAACATTCTTGATGCTTTGAAATGACTTGTTTGTGCCTGGTGAAGGTTGTGAATAATAATCTGTTATTCAGTGATGAATAATAATAATATTATTGACTTTGAAAATTGAAAAATTGCAAGGTAATATTTTTTGTCGCGTGTACAACAAAGTAAAGACTTTCATTATTTAGTGTTAGCATGACATAATTCCATAATTCTGTATACCAATTGAAAACATTGAGGAAGCATGAATTTAATGATACTGATTTGTTTTTTTAACTGATTTTGGTTTCAGTCTATGCTTCTGTATTATCTAAGTTCAGTTTTTTTGATTGGAGGATTGTAACACTTGCATTGCTGGTTTCATGTAGCTTCATTAATTATCTATAAAAAAAACAAAAACAGAATGTTGTCCAGAATAATATAATATTTTCAAATGGCTGGTAACATTTTAGGTATAATCAATGAAGTTTAAATCTAAATTGCTTATGTTTACTAAGAAAGTATATTGTATGCCATTTATATTACATTCCAAAAATAGCTTCTAGTTCACTTAAATCAAAATTTGATGTCAGGGTGGAAAAAAAAGTGTATTTGAGTATTTTCTCAGAAAATTGAATTTCTCTATCATTAGACATCTTGAAAGTGAAGTGTTAAAAATTAATAAAATTTTCAAGAGTATTCTCTCTTTAACATGTTTTCTGCATGGAAGGATTATACTCGTTCAACAGGGTGTTTTCTGAGAGCGCCACAGTGTCAAACACAAAGCACTTGTATTGTATATAAATTGGTTTAGTGTTCCAACCACAAAATATTAGCTGGCTGTTCATGGAAGATACATGTATGGAATAATCTTAAGAATATATTGCATATGTTTATTGTGTTTCATTACATGTAATATGGAAATTAACTGATTCAGATTACTAAAGGAACATTTACAAGTGGAAATAAATTATATGTGTGGTAACAAATGTTGTTGGCTATTTCTGAAAAATGTGTGATATTTTGAAATAAACACAAGTAATCAACAAAAATTATTACCAAATTTATCAGGGGAGAAAGTTTTCTCTTACTATGATATTTTTCCGGTAATATTATACATAACATGATAAGAAATGACTAGGTGAAGTTTGAAAAAGATTGACATTATATACATTTGGCAAACTGGCATTGAATAGGCAAATGTGGTAAACTAGTTTTTTTACAGTAGAATAGTCGAACCTCATGTTATTCTTTCATGTTATTTTATATTAGTTTTCGAAATTGTCTCCCAATAATAATAAATACTTCCATACAGTATTGTTTGATATATAAATATTATAATAATAATAATAGAATACTAGATGAAATTTTTTGATCATTTATATAAATATTATTATTCATTTCCTTAATGTATTCGACTAATTTCCACTCAATAAATTTAGTGCAAAAATGTATTTAATTTTTATGATTATATTGAATCTGAGTTTAATGCATATGACAGCAAAACCATTGCTGAACTGGCAACTGGGAACTTAATAAATTTAATTTGATGTTCTGATTTATTTATTTATAATTCATTTTTTTTTATTATAAATTGTTAATCATTGGTATTCTTTCATTATTATTGATTACAATATTGGTATTTTGTTTATTGTTAATCAGTGGTTGAATACTTGTTAACTTGTTATTGATGGTTTATTATAAATTTAATTTACTTATGATCAATATTGATTGATTAAAATTTGGAGAATTTAATATAATGATAATATTGATGACCTTATGCTCTTTAATTATTGGTGATTGATCTCCATGCATTATTGATAATCATATTTGTCATTTGCAAATCATGCCATTTGTTTAAATTTGTTTACAATAATCAAAATGTTCTCTGTACTTTGTTTAATTTATAAACAAATATTAAGTTTTAAGGTCAAGTATTATTGTTATATTTAAACTAAATTATAGTTTCTGTTAAGGGTTTCTGTTAAGGCTGGACATTTTATGTGACACAATCCACAGAGTGACACCACACATACACACCCCAACACAAATGCGCAATGCACACAGTTAAGCTATGTTGTTGTGAATGTAGATGAGCAAAGTATTGTCATTTATGTATATACTTTTTAAGATGTACGTTTCATAATTTTTAAATTAAAATGTAATTACAAACTTAGGAAAATGTGTTGTATAGGATAGGATGTCATCATTAATCCAAAAAATTTTTTAGAACATTTTCAATCAGCACATACACAAGGAATGCCTTTACTTTACATCTAAAAGCAAAAAAGTATGACTTCACAAACAATTTCTAACATTGCTGTTCCCAAGTATTCAATGTTTCCACTTGTGTACTGTTGTTACATGGTGCTCAGTTTTGCTACACATGGCATTGTGTCAAGTAATGCCTCTTGTTTCAAATGTTGCTAAAATGTGTGTCTTATGTAGCCTTAATTTTACAGTGTTGCCACATGTGTCCAGTTTGCCATATTGTCAAGTTGTTCCACATGTGTTCAGTGTAGTCACATATTTTCAATGTCACAACACGTGTCCAGTGTTGATGCATGTTTCCAGTGTTGCCACATGTCTCCATTGCTGCCATGTGTGTCAATTGTTATCACATTTGCCCGGTGCTGTCAAATTTATGTTTATTGTTGCTACTTGCATCCAAAGTTGCTACAAGTGTGGTAAATCAATCAATACCTACCTATGTATGAGGTGTAGATGTCATTACACTACAGTATGTGACAGAAAGAACTAATTCTAAGAAATATAACCACTTTGTATTCAAATTAGAATTTTGCATTTCAGTACAAATTTACAAGTTGTCTAAGAAGACAAAGCATATCAAAACATGATTATGAAATTGCTGAAATGTTTAAATAATGTTCTAGCTCAATAGAAAATGCATTAACCAGAGATTACCATAGCAATGAGGATGATGTGTTTATTTTCAATTTTTTCATGTGATTTTTTCTTTAAATTTTGTGGTTAAAATCATTTTTTTGTTACGTAATTTTTTTTGATAATGCTAATCATGTTAAATCATGTTCAGAATATGTACAAAGTTTACTTGTAACTGTAATTTTTTTTTTTTTAAATTTCTATTTTATATTTTTATTTTTGTCTTTGAAGAAGACGAGGAATCACGCCGTACATTGCTGCAAATTCTATTATTATTCTTGTACCAAAATCTCAGCAATTTAAATACAAATTTATGAAAGGTGCAATTAGAACATGCATGAAAGGGATTAAATAGTAAAGCAGAATAAATATAAAATTAAACACTCCTAACCAAGCTTGATTATTAAATATGAAGTATGATTCCATTTTCCTGGTCAATGAAGTCCTCAATTACCCAAGACCAATACATTTGAAATTAAGTATCAGTTAATTACTTTCTGTTAATGAATTATCGAATTACTTAATTACTGTGGTCTTCAGAGTCAACAGAACACTTATTTAAAATTTCCATACAATACAAATATGTACTGTATTAGAAACTGCCCTCTATTTTTGTACAAACGCTTATGTAAGGCTGTAGAGGGCGGCAAACAGTTTCTATCTATCTACCAGAATAATCATTTGTTCAGGTAGTAGGAAGTGAAAAAAAAATATGGAGGTGATATAATTTGTCCCAATTCATTGAGATGGTTAAATAGATTTGAAGACATTTTTCTGAATATTCTTCAATATGTACAGATTGAATTGAGTATTTGTACAAAGAAATATGTTACATGGTAAACAATATAATTTTATAATTGTGTGTATTAATATTTTTACTAAAAAAATTACTTGCATATTAATATAATATACTATACCTTATGTTGTTTAAAGAGGCACATCATAGGTACGATGCCTGTCTATCTAGTAGGATTCCAGCTACAATAATGGGTTTACTAATTCAAGTTTAGGGTATCTTTTTTAAGGAATGAATGCCTTGTATAGATTTGTAATTTTTCTCTAGTGCTTTACTTATTAGAACTTACATTGAAGATAGTATTTTCTTTTATGGCATCTATTCTTATTGGAGAAATAAAGACATTAAAGTTGTATAGTAAAATGGGTGTTTCATTTATTTGTACTATTGAAGAGGTACTCAACTTTCAGTGAGCAAAAATGAAAAGCACATTAGCCTGAAGATAAAAAGCATTAATTGAAATTTTAAGTAGTAACTTTATTTGCAAAAAAAAAAAAAAAAAAAAAAAAAAAAATCTTGAAAATATACATCAATTTATGAAGTTTATACACATAAAATTGATAAAAGCTTGCAAAATTATTTTCAACAACATTGTATTACCAAGGAGAAACACAATCAGAAACATCCATTATATTATAATGTTCACTTGGTTGTTCAGTAGATTTTCTCTTTCAAAAGCCTAAGTTATTCTGTGGATCTAATAATTTTGTATAAATAAATATAGTGCAACTCATCTCATCTTTACATGAGGGGCACATTTTTTAAAAATTTCCGTCCAGTTTAGTTTGTTGTTCTACTGTTTGAAAAGGCAGGTCGTTGCCATAAACTTGATGCTTGCACGTGTGAGTCATTGAAGATGCTTGATGATAGTAAGAAAGGATTAGGGCTCAATGGCCTTTATAATCCCACATTTATCTAGTTTTGCCTTGATACAATTTACTTAGAGGGTGGGGGGGGGGAGCCAATGAAACATCGGAGAAAAAATCAAAATGTTGATAAGTCTTTGAGATGAGTAATGTTTTGCCGACGTTGCAATTTATAGATATTTTAAGAACGCTTGCAGTGTTTCCAAACCTTGAGGTTGCAAATCAAAGTAGTTCAGCAAAATGGTTGTTAGATGGGTAGCAGGTCAAAACGGCAATAAACCAAACAGAAAATTACCAAAACGGCAATAAACCAAAACGGCAATAAACCAAAACGGCAACAGAACAAAACGGCAATGACAAGTACTAAAACGGCAATAGGCGTTGACCAAATCGAATCATCTTGAAATTGGCTAAAGGGCAAGTGCTGTTGGCCTTGGGCTGTAATTGCCCGGGGCCTAAATTATCTGTGGCTAACACAAAGCCAGATTTTCGGTGATTTTCTTTGGGGACATCTGATGTGTATAAGAGACAGGGGGGCGGCTGTGGGACTGGGGCTGGCGACACAAAAGCCCCATGTGTTAATCTGGCACTGGTCATAGGCTTTTTTCTCGCTTTTAATGTTAAATCGCTTTTTTTTTTTACACATCCATGACAAATTATCTAGATGCCTCATTTTGTCTGTATTAAATTTTTATTAATTTGAATGTATACTACTCTATCTCTTATATTGTGTTTCCCCCAATCTTTATCATCGTCATTTTTAAAAATTTATTTTAATGCTTACTGCTTATATTGTGTTTTCCCCAATCTTTTTATTATTGAATGTCACAATGGTCAGTAAATCTTATTTGAGTTGGATCTTTTAATGTTTTTTATTAGTCATGTTTTGGTTTATTGCCGTTTTGGTTTATTGCCGATTTGACTTATTGCCGTTTTGGTCCATTGCCGTTCTGGTAAAGTGTTGCCGTTTTTGTCACTGCCGTTTTGACTTATTGCCGTTTTGGTTTATTGCCGTTTTGACTAGAAAGCATTAGATGTTTACTTAATGTAACGTAGTTAGATTCATATAGCACCGAAGTCTCAAAGCGCACACCAGGGTAGCTCCCTACAGTGGGCAAGTGCACATGAGCCAAACAACCGATTCTACCAATATGATCAGTTTTGGTAATTTTAGTAAATCGAAATAGAACATTGTTACCGAGTTTGAAATTTAAATGGGATGAACTGACAGAGTAAAATATCTGAACAAGTCATCATCATAGTAATATTCAAGAACATGCTATGAATAGACAACTGATGATGAGATTGGTGTCGGTGATGATACAGATTCGATGCCTGCTTGTTAATACAATTATAGTGCTGTGTTACATTGCTATGGCTACTAGTAACTTTTCTTAGAAATTGTGGAGATATTAGCTTCTTTTAAAATAGAAGATGACATCTTATTTCAGAGTAATAGAGCAGCAACTTGAGACAGCTTTTGACAGTCATATTGGGAGGGTGGTGGAAGAGGAGGTAAAACAAGAAGAAGTAATGATGGTGGATGGATAGTCGAAAATATGTCTATTACTGATACTAATAATAATAAAATAGACATTTACAATCATATAGGTAAACGCCAAACAAATAAGCTTCCATCGCATTTTCTTTTATTTGAGTCTGGTTTATCAAAATTAATTCAATTGGGAGTCGTGAAGTTGTAATGCACAGAAAACCAATCATATACGATAGCCTAGTCTTAAAAATTACAAATAGATTTTTAAATAACACTGATCTTAAAAAGCAATTAAATGTATATAACAATATCAACGTGGTTTAAACACCGCCGTAGCATTTCACCATATTCACACGTACTCTGGATACATAAGTGATATCAATCACTAAAGGAAAACATGTAATAACAACCGCAAATCACATGAAAAGATAAAAAATTATCTTGATTGAATTCTGATAAAAATTCATGAATAAAATTAAAACATCAAGAATGAAGTACACTGCAGAATGTTATCAAAAACGTATGTATAGAAACAAAATTATACATCGGAGTGAACAGCGGTTGATGATAGTAAGCCTAATAGAAGGGTTTTTCAATCACAATCGACGTCATGAAGTATAAACCCGTTATTTTATTGTCTCGTTTGTTCCATTATTTTGCTTTTTGAGAATCAAACTTGCAAGATCATAACTGTGAAATAACTGTCTTACAACAACAACAACAACGAAATTGAGTATTCAGATCAAGTAAAATAGTATTTTAGTGGCCTGACGTTTTCAAATCATACAAACTAGTTTATACCAATTACTTTATATTTGAAAATATGTAATCGAATAACATGGGCTACCAATCATTGCGTTAAAATAGTGGGCCATGATATTCAGGTACCGTATTCGATAAAATGCACGTAGACGAACGCACTGCGTTACGAATCTACATTGCGTGTTACATGTAACCACTACTTCCTGAGTGCGGTAATCGATTTATTAACTATTATACAGAATATGCCTATACAGATTCCTTTAGAGGAACAACAGCACCCCATTTACTCCTATATGGTTGTTGACAAATACTATTTTTTAGAGTGCCATATCCAAATGAACTTGTTTTTATTTACTTCACATCAACAGCAAGTACACTCACCACATACAGGATGGAACGATGCTTTATAAAGTCTCTTAAAGTCAGGCTCCGGGGGAAAAATTTTTTTTGATATGTTGTAGAACTGAGTTTTGATCAAAAACTGAGCAACGGTGAATGAGATACAGATTTTTTAATATTTAAAAACTGGGGGAAAAAGGTGTAAAAATGGGCGGTTACGCCCCTTTTCCCCCCAGTTTTTAAATATTCAAAAATCTGTATCTTGTTCACCGTTTTTCCTCCGGAGTCTGACTTTAATGAGGCTTAGGGAATGGAGCTGTTTTTTGTCGTGAGAAAGTATTGCTGTGACAGGAATTGAACCCAGGACACTGGGATTCGAAGTGAAGCTTCTTAACCACTAAGCTATTCAACTCTACTCAAATTAAAATTTATATATTTATTTCATATTTTTCAGTTCCTGAAGAAAGCCGCATTCTTAACTGCGGTTATCCAAATGGTATGCACAACAGTTGCCTAAATACAATTTTAGCTGTTACTGTAGCAACCAGACAAAATCGTGCTTTATTGAGTTTCACCCCAGTTGTAAGACATGTATGAATGTATTCCATTGCAACACTTTTATTGAAATTGTTCACTACCATAAAAGAGTGCTAAATTTATTTCAGATTGAATTGCATCTGGATAAATCAATATGTTACTCCTTTCCCTTTTCTTTAAAAAATGGGTTCCAAAAGCACAAAATAGAAAGACCATTAAAATCGACTCCAGAATACTAAGCCTGCTACTTATAGAAGGTTTGATTGCCACCTTGCTCACTTTCAGTTTATATAACCATATCATTCGAATGATAAGTGATCTCTCTTATAAAAAAATCTATATTGTCAATAAAACCGAAAGTGCAATCACCAATTTCTGAGCGTCACCACAATTTAGGCCCCTTAAGCGTTAGAATTTTTATATAGGCCTATTAATAATAATGTCAATAATATTTTGAAAGCTGTAAATAAGCACCAATGTACACCAGTATGTACGATTCATTCTTTACATACTTTTTTTTTGCAATTATTTTGTAGTTTAAATGACAAATAGGCCCTACTTGAAAGTAGGGAAAAGGTCACAAGTATACACAATGTCATATTTTTACATTCACCTGCATTTCGATGTACAATATTCAAAATACATGAATCAATGTCGCTATAGATTTTTTGCAATTAAGCATTTTTCTAAAATCTATCAGCAAATGTTCCACAAAATAGACAACAATCATAAAAAATCTGCAAAGACATAAGTACACTTCTCATAATTGCATGTCACTTTCGAGTAATGTAGCGATTGCATTAAACGATTTCGTATAAACGATCTAGGAAACGGGCGAGGGTCATTATTTTTCTAATGTCGACTAGATGAAAAACATATACGTTGAAACTTTTAGAAATACTACTCAAACTAAAAATCTCGCGGCACAAATGTAAGCGAATTAATACTCTTTGAACACATTAAAATACTGGTATTCCAAGTACAGAAACAACTGAAACTAGGGTGCTTCTCATCTTTGAACATTTCCAGTTAACACGATTAGACGGATAGTATAAAACTAAAGCCAAAAGACTTAATTAAATTAGTGTATACTGTAATGCTTGTTTGGTAAACAAGCACTGTTTTAGAATATACAAACGTCATTCGAAATCAAATTAATTTGTGACGGAAACGCTGAAAAAACACTTCTTAATCTATAAAATGTTTTGTTTGGAACCAAATTTTCGGTACATCTTAAGTTTACATCAATTATCAATGATTTAGCAAATTCATAGTCCTGTTTTTGGATTGACTGGCGAACGAAAACCAGTAGTAAAAACGAAATTCATTGTGTAACACCAGATCCAGCACTTCATGTAATCAGGGAATAAAATTTCACTGTTCCCTGATGTATGATTTCTATTTGTTATTCTACGAACACAAATTGTCATAACATAGGCCTATCAAAATTGCCGTCTATAGAAAATTCTTACATTGCAAAAAATGTAGCAAGATGTAATTAAATGATCATTATTAGACGCCAAATAAAACCGTAATTAATTTTAATAACAACTATCTGATTCTGTTATGTGTAATGGAATTGTCCAAATGTTACCCTTAGACCTAATAATAATTTTATATCCAATTTTATTATCTACAAATTTTCAATACCGTAAAGATTGATCGAAAGGACATAAGTCCCACCCCCTCCCACGTCAAGTAGTTAAAAATCACCTAAAATCACCTTATTTTGCGAATTAGTGCCCCTCAACTAATCATCGAGCCCCCTCCCCCCACACTTCACCTTCGCGCCCCACCTCTCACCAGCACCCCAATTTCAAGACTTCTAGTTACGCCACTGATTAAAGCACATCATGCCAGTTTAACAGGATTCAAAACCTAATGAATCCATATTCAATACGCTTTGAAGAATTACATAATATTGCAACAACTACTGTAGTATTTAGCGCAGTGGTGCTCCAACCTAGCAGGTATCAGCTGAGTATACTCCTAGTGTGGAAAGACAACCGTAGGTGAAGCGCCTTGCCAGATACAGTGATACACGTCGAGGGGTTCAAGGCCATGGCCGCATAAAGTTGACAGCTCGAATTTCCCCCAAAAGGATCAAAATATAATAATGCTCATAAATTATTGGCCACAGCGAGGGGTTCGAACCACTTTCCTAAAAAATAGAGCCCCAATCGCAACCGCTGCGCCAGCAACATGAAGGACACAATAAACATAACCCAAATACAGTAGGCAGGTTTAAGAGCTAGAACACAGATAAATAAATTTGGTGGGTAGAATCATATTCAAGCGACGTATACCTTTGTGACGTAAACGACTTACTACTTAAATTATCTGATAATTATCAGTTTCGGTGACAAATAATAGTCAGGATAGTCATGATGACTTCACCAAACCTGATTAGGGGATTCTGATCAGATGATTGATGACTAGTGCTAGCACCAGTATAGAAGAGTATCAGCATTTTATTTTTCACCGAAATACTGATCATTTAGGTAGAATCAGTTGAAATATTAGTAGTTTGTTTTATTATGGCCGGTGTTCGTATTACTGTAATGTACCTAAGATAATTGGCTCATTTCTGCAATGTTGTCTTTTTTAAGCAGAACATAAAAAGAAAATAATTAAATGCAGCCAGACCAAGACAAATATACAAGGACAAAGAAAGTTACATCACTAGAGAAATTGCTTCTAATTTTTGAGCGATTTATTTGCATAAAATAAAATGAATAATAAATCTGTATCACAAGACACAAATGCCATATAAAACGAATGAAAGTTCTATTTAAAATTCATCCTGATGGGATCATTTTTGTCCACACACAATAATTCCGGGGTTTTGAGGACATTGGTGCCATAATATTAAAATGGAATGAAGTATTTTTAGGAATTACACATAAGTGTCATGGACTAGGGTTGGATTTCGAAGAAAAAACACAATTTCTTAATAAAATGGTACCGGTATTGATCAAAGATATTCTTTTGAAACCACAAGTTTAGGCAAACTGGTAGGTGCTCAGTTTATCATAATTTTAATATACCTACAATTTTATGGTTTGTTTACAAATAGTTAATTGTTTCTTCAATTTTTTAAATTGTCCAGCTTTATACGTGGACAGAGAGCCTCGAACCAACAGCAATAAATCAGGCTAAAAAATAAAAAAAAATTTAGTGATATTACTTTCAATCATTCGAAAAATTAAGGACCTTAATTAGATATATATTATATATATTCTTTATTTAAAACAAAAATTGTTTAAAGCACTATAATTACAATACAACCGACATTAACTTGTTACAAATTACATCAAGGAAAATAAGATAAACAACTATAATTTCTTAGCCACTTGATAATTTGGCATACATAGACATTCATAGTACGATACAAAAGTTGTGTAAAAGTTAATTTAAATTCAATGAAAATACTGCTTTACTTAGCATACGAGGCTCGAGTCGTGATGAGTTGAGACATGACACACGAACACAAGCTAATTTTGTAGTATTCACATAATATAAGTAAAACCTTGAAAATCCTTGCGACTCAATGTGCTTGACAGATATATAAGATAGTGAGTCGCTGATTAACTGAAGAGAATATTAAATGCTACATTTATAAGTCAGCAAACAGACAAATCCACATTAGACTAGAATTATGTGTGGAAAATTTAAAATATTAACGTAGACAAAAACTCAAAAGCACATTAAAATCAATAGCAATATTCTATTAATAATTTTCAGGCTTACACTTTAACTATAGTGCTTTCCACAGAATACAGTTTGCAAAGCGCCAAGTTCTGTTTACGATGGATGATAATATAATCCAGGGCGCTGATTGGATGAATTAACGCATTCTGCAAGGTAACGTTAAATATGACTATTTGGTCATCAGTAAAATTCATCTTGGACGGATCCGCGTGATCACATAAACTTCACTAAATAATCGGCTGTGAAACGAAACGAATCATCAACATTAGGTATATTCACAATTAGCAATGGAAACATGGTATGGATTAAGTCGATAGACATATCGTCATAATGTTTCTTTATTCTGTGATGTTTTTTGACAGGTATTACTCATTATAACTATTTTAAATCAATGTCTTCATCATCCAGTGATGATGATAAAGTGTACGGTTTAATATTTGAAAGCTTCACTGGTCGCTCGGGTAAACTTTTTAAGATATCGCGTTTCTCAGAATGATTGTCTGGTGCTTTACTTGTCGATTTTCCTAACAATTCTGCACGGCATTCCGCCTCTGATTGTGTAAAACCACATTTTCGTAAATTTGATTTGTTTTGAATGTCTGGTTTAGCATCAAAATCATAAACGTTCGAATTTGTTTTGCTGGATGTTTTGTAGGTTGGTGAAGCCATATGAATTCCAGAGTCGAAATCGGAGGACATAAAAACTTGCGAATCTGAACTGCATGTCGAGGCCGCCTTTGAACCCAATTTCGTGTCTGAATCCGAATCACTCGTCGTAGAGACAGTTTTCTTACAACTCTTTGGAGAACGAATTCCTCCGAAAAGTCTTCGCTTTGATTCGACAGTCTCATCGGAAAACATCGGACTTCGGTCGCGTGGTGAGACAAGTGCAATTTCTGTGTTGCCATTGGAATTGGTAAAAGAAGGCAGACGTAATGAAATCTCTTTATTTGGAGGCATGTGGTTGTGGTGGTGTCCAGCTTTATATGATATGCTATTGGAGGGTTTGAGTAAACTGCAGTCGTTCACCAAAGGTGAGATAAAAGATGGTGGTTGTGGTTTCGATGGCGATGGTAATGCTCGGTCGCACACTTGACCAACAAGACTGGCCAATGTAATTCGGTATATCTGAAGTAGGCTATTTGATGCATTGCCTGAGAACAGAACAAGAAAAACATCTGCAACATATGAAATATTTCTCTTGACTAAAATCAATCAGAATATACTTAGGCCTATAGAATTTATTTTCTTATTTAGAAATACAGGCGAGATGCAGATCTTTAATCCCCCAAAGAAAGGTTGAGGAGATTGGAGAAGAGAGCGAGAAAAGATAAAACTCTGAGGTGTTTCACTTGACTAAGATCATTCAGAATATTATAGTAGAATCTATTTTCCTACTTTAAACTACAGGCGAGATGTACAGTAGATCTTTCATCGCTCAAAGATTCAAATTCAAAATTCAAAATATCTTTATTAGCAACCAAAGCAAACATTGATTGAATTATACATAAAAGCAAGTCAAAATCAGAAATAGAAAAAATAACCAGTAAAAATATTTTTAAAAAATCAATAAAACAATTTATGAATTAAAAAGAAAACAATAATAAGGAGTTAGCATAAGGCAGTCACAATAAAAGAAAAGTGTGCCTATATTTTAAAAATTATTATTTTCAAAAGTTTAGTCCAGCCGTCTATAATCCAAATTCAACTTACAATGTACAGCGAAGATGTGTATAAGAGACAGGCCTCGAACCAACAGCAATAAATCAGGCTAAAAAATAAAAAAAAATTTAGTGATATTACTTTCAATCATTCTCATAGAATAAAACATGGAGTCGTTCACACTTACGATTATAAGTGAGTAATAACTCGGGCTCATCATCTTCATACATGTCGACTGCTGACACCAGATCGACCTATTGATAAGGCCAAAATATTAACTGTATCAGTAATAATACCACTATATTTAACGATGTTAACTATAAATATTATAAGAATACCAACAACTGTTAAAAACAAACACAAACAACAGCACCCAACACCCACCATCCAACAACCGTCATATTTCACCAACTACAAATCACCAACAACCCAATAACTAACAACCAACAACCAATCAAACACCACCGAAACCCAATCAAACACCACCGCCACAACCACCACCAACAACAACCAGCAGTGACGGTTTCAGAGATGTCCGAAAGGGGGAGGACGCCTGGAAATGACCTCTGAGGCGTTTTGGGCAATCAATAATTTCTTTTTCTTTCTTTTCCCCCCTTTTTTTAACCTTAAAATTAAAAAAAAAAGGGGGGGGGGCTAAATCCGCCCCTGCAGCTCCAACAAAAACAACAACAAACAAAAACACTGACATTAAACAATAGAGTGAAGTTTTATATAATCTTCAAAGGATACATACATTGGTATACAATTACTATTTCTCAAATCCTTAATAGGCCTATAATTATGATATTAATTATTAATGAATATCAATAGTGTTCATAGCATTTGTGTGGCTGATCATATTATAGCCAGGGGTGGATAAAGAAAAAGAAAGAAAAAAAAAAAGAAAGAAAGAGAAAGAAAAAAACGATCGCCCAAAACGCCCCAGGGGTTATTTTCGGGTGTCTAAAACACAAATTTCGCGGGGCATGCCCCCGGACCCAATAGGGTATTATTATCTCGATCGGGCCCACTTTCGGCGCCCCTTTCGCCCCCCCCCCATTTGGGCATCTCTGGATCCTCCTGATAGCCTACCTTAGTCGATTCAACCATATGAACCCTGAATGTATCACCATTCTTTTCATTAATAAGGTCAAATTGCTGACGATAGCCCACGCAAAACTCATTGTCGCCTTTGCTCCCACCATCCACTAATGTTAACAAACAAGGCACATCATTCGCACTCAGTTCCTGGAAAAAACGAACAGAATGGAATACATGAAAGAAAAACGACAACTAAAACAACGAACTCATTCGGTACACAAATATACAACATAGCCACAGAGAAGCAATGACCTGGTATGAAACCCGCAGCCTCGTACACACAATGAACATTTAATTTACTCAGTGTCGAGGAATAGTGGCATGGGGTGGGGGTGCTGGTGTGGGGGGTGGCGCGTCTGCAAATTGTGGGTGGGGGGGGGGAGGGCTCGATGATTAAGTGATGGGACTTTTACCTGGCAAAATAAGGTGATATTTAACTACTTGACTGTAATTGTTTTTGCTAAGCAAGTTTCTAGTGAGTACGAGCTTTTACTACGGGGGCGTGCGCCCCCAGCCACCCAACCCCGTAAATACGCCGCTGAATTTACCCTAACAAATTGGAAGCCATCAATCGTGTCCGTATCAGCTGTAGTGCACCAAGTCGTCCACGCAATGCTGTGTTTCCACGTCATTAGCAGGATCTTTTTGCAGACAGCAACAGCCATTCGCAGATGAATTCCACCTGGTCTGCTCAATGCATACAAATGACAACCTAAAATTATTTTAGTGATTTTAAAAACAAATAAAAATAAGAACAGCGTCAACGACAACAGTTGTAGCAACAACAATAATACTAGATGAAAATTTTGATAATTAATGCGAATATAATAGGAATAATAGAAATTATGATGATAGTAAAGTTGATAATAATATTATTTTTATATGATTCAAATAAAAATCATTAATTGTTTTAATCCGTAGACACACACCCTATATTTGGACTGGTTTTCAACACACAAATACAACTGTTGTTAAAAAGCCCAACGTACAAAAAAATTCGCTGCATCTGTTCCACTTTCTTTCTTACATAAAGTTGATAAATAATCACAACGAATTTTAGATAGGGTTTAAACATATGCATACCTTGTATATGTGTTATAAGACTTTGGCATTGGAATTTGAGTTGATTTCTTCGAAGTTGATTTATACAAGCGAACTAATTTTGATCATGACTGTAGTATTATATCAACCTGAAAATTTATCGATTGTTTTCAGCTGCTGATGACATAATATTTCCAAAGTGACTCACCTTTGGTTCGCTCTAGCTTATGCTCTTTAATTTCCGCTCTTCCAAGAAGGACATGTTGGTTTTTTTCACCTTCTAACATTGATAATCTGAATACGTATACACGGCTCTCCTTTCCTAAGACGAAGTAAACAATATAATGAGCTTGTAAGAAATAAAAATGAATCATTAAAAATGAAAATTGACATAATTGAAAAAGTACGCTATTCCTCAGATAAGCCACACATAAGCCTATATGCAAGAATTTTTTGTTTTTAATTTATGCCTTTAATCATGTATACCTATAATAGAAAAACAATAGGTTAATTCGAATTAATTCCGACACTACTATAGCTGTTTCGTACAGGTAGCTACATATCCTCGCTCATAAGTAACAAAATGCAAAGCTTGTAGCACCGAAATAAATTGTATTTTTAGGCTCTAAACAAATTCGATGACTATTTCTTTCATCATCATTGCATATAGCGAAAATAAGTATAAAGACATTCGTATTTTGTTGTTTATATCACACACATCAAGAATATTTAATTAAATTTAAAAACCAAATAATATTAACAGTCATTGTGATCAGCTTTAGGATCAAATTTATGTAGAGTATAACCAACCTTTATCAGCTCTGAACAGCAACAGTCCATGTGCCTCTACCACGCTTAGTTGTTTCACGCTTACCGACTTGTCAATGATAAGCCGAGGTTGCACAGAATCTAAAATAAAACAGATGATCACATAGGCCTACGTTTATATTTATATGTATTATAGACTTTATAGAAATCAGTTAGCTGCATAGCAGTGTTAATCTGGTTCAATTTAGGCAAATAAAGGCCTATTTATATATACTCCTTGAGCAATAACGAGGTATGATATAAACATAAATAAAGAAATAAATTACATTAATGAAGTAAAGTGCATGAAGTAGGCCTATATGCTTTTCAACTATTCAAAAGTTTCACAAAGAAAAAACGTCTGTTTCAGTCTTGCGACTTGCACTCCAATGTTGCAATTAATTTGTTTAAAAAATCTAAAATTTAAATAATTTCAACCATAGCATTTGTGTTTAGCAATTCCTTTAAGATCAATACAATTTTGATAACTTTTCAATGAAACAATAAATTTTAACAAACGCCGGTAAATATTAATGACAAACAAGAGATTACGAACTAGACGCTGTTAATGTTCAAAACAAGCTTCAATAAGAGAGAATATACGGTACGAAACGCCTGTAATGGCCAGTATAATCAGTAATGGCACTAAAGGAAGTAAATAACATAATCAAATCAATGATGTAAATGTGATCGTGACTATACAGACACATAAATCAAACATCATGGTATAGTTAATGGAGTGAAGTAAGACTAAGCATGGCCGTAAAATAATTGTGTTATTTTTAAAGTTTGACTGACGTCGTTCAAGATAAGTTTAAAACGTTCAACCTTTAAAATTGTACATAAACAAAACTTGATATTGCATAATATAACACGCTACCATGTTTTATATGCGTTCTATCAAACCATGGATTAATTAATTAATTCCTCCATGGTTCTATATCTGAAGCTCTGTCCAGACTATCAAATGTTATTTGACAAAAACATGTGACATACCTAAATATGGTCATGATGACATCACATCATTACCATATAGGGACATCATGAATATATATGGGCCTAAAACAATTTTGTCACAAATATAGTTTGTTAATCTGGACAGAGCGTAAAACAACAATAAGAATATTTGTTTTGATGTATTAAACAACATATCGACTCTGAATAACAATGATAACAATAATAATAAAAATTATTATTATTACTATAATTTTAGCTTGAATGTGTCGTGTGCGGAAGGCGATTTTAAATGAATATAAACATCACTTGTGTTGTTGCTCTTATTATAAATAAGAAACTTCAAGGAAATATAACCTTTTCCAGCTCTTTAACTTTGATGTAACTTGTGTAATTTTTCGTCACCTTGTCACGAAACGTCGAATATTTACAACATAATGTTCAAGTACCAACATAATTTGAATATTTCTGGTAACATTGCAAATTTATGTTATAAGACTTTCGTTTTAGAGAACCTTATCAATTCCCATACCTCAGGGATGACTTAACTTTTAAACAGACGATTTAAAACCACTCATCTTTTCTTGGGGGATGTGGAATGTTGTTTTGTGTTATGTTGGTTATTACAATAATTAGTAGTAGACCCACCAACCTAAAAAACTAACACGTAATGAAGGTCAATATCGTATATAGTACGTAGTTTGTGATATTTCAAAAAAAGAAAAATCAAATTCAAGGACAACCAAACGGAATAGTCTTCAAATCAAACAGTCTCTTTTTTGTTCAGTTAATATACAGTATTAGTACAGGTACGGTACAGCATTATAGGTCTATAGTATTTATAAATATAAAACCCTCATAAATTCAAATTAAACATTGAATTATTCATTAGATCAAGTAAGAAATTAATTTGCAATGGGACACAAATCAAAACAATTAGGTTTACGTAGATTCTTTTGGAATTAAATCATTATACACGTTGCCGATAACCTTAAGTGTTAATGTACAGAAAATAAGAACGGTATATTTTCTATTCTTCTGTTAACTTGTCAAAAATGTACTTCTCTTGGGTGTCTAGGATGGCGTCATAAAATCAGAAACATGGAGGTTGAGTGGGTTGCATAAAAAGAACTCTAAGAAGAGTGCATAAGTCTGTATATATTCTGTGTTGACAATCTGTATGTTATGTCACATAAATAAATAATTTAGGGTCTGTGTAATGTCTAAATCATTGTAAAAAATACCTTCAAGAATGAAAACACCTTCTTCTGTCACAACAACGAGCTTTTCGCCTGAGAAAAAACACCAAACAAACATATGTTAAAAACAATCAAATTTTACGTACTTGTTTATGATTATTTTAATATAAACTCACACAACAATTTTTTGGAAGCGTAAAAGAATATATCGTTACTAGGGAAAATGTAACGATATGCCAAAAATATTCAGTTATAGTTAGTGACCACAATGAAGACAGGACGAACGACAATATGTTTCGAAACACACGTGGACACGCCTTCTTCATATAATTATATATATATATATATATAATTATATATATACTGTATATAAACTGTTTGTTAGCTGTCTTAGTCTGATGCAGTATAATAAATAAACTTGAAATCGTTTATCATTCTTATGTCCGTTTGGGCACACCTTGGAGTCGTCTTGTTGCTCAGTTAACTGTCAGCCTATAATTCGTGGGCTAATTTAAAAAAAAATAGTATATAACTTTATTAGAGGCTTCTGCGCGCGATAGCAGCTCTCATTTCATGTGTGCATAGATGTTCTTACCCCAAGAATCACCACATATGATTTCGTACGGGAAGTCTTTGGCCATAAGTTGTGGTTCCCAAGGCTAAAGATAAAAACATAATAACCATTAAGAGCTAAAAGAAGTATTAATGTTTCATGAAATAATGAGGAACGATTTTGAATAAATATTTTTTACTGATTAAACAACTGGCGATAATTTTTAATGTTATACGGAAACACGTGGGCCTGTTGTTTTTGGTACGTCCTGTTGTCAAAACATGTTTTAGTATAAAAATATGTTGTTTGTAATTGACACTGGCAACTTAAGTCAGCTGATCTGAGAAACATTTATCAGCTACGTTCGCATGTAATTGATACTGACTATCAACAATTAAGTTTATGAATTACGTCACCATTTATGGAATAATGATTATATTATATATCTAAAATAGCTCTCCCATGACAATACGATGATAGGCTTAACAAAATGTAAATCTGTAGTCAATATATTGTCAGACTCGAAAGCAAAGGATGTCATTGAATGTACAGTGAATTTTTAATGCAATTGTACTTTTGAACATCAACCTACCTCTCGTTTTAGTAATGACGTTGTGGCCGTGCTTGTTGGTGCGTCGCCTTTTACAATTGTTCGTAGTTTCAGTGACTAGAAAAAAAAAACCACCCAGATTTAATTATTACCTTTAACATTCAAATAATTAGAAATCAGTACTAAAGTACGGCGTGCTTAAATGTCAAAAACAAAATAAAATTAAGAACTGCTATACTCCTACAGATTACATGGATTACACACGAGAGTGAGTTGACTAAAACGATTAAAACATGGGATATTAGATTACTATAAATCCATAATTACAGCTACTTGAGAATTGAAAACAGCAATCTACTATCTTATACGCATCAAAGAATTCGGAAATTAGACGTGTAATTAATACAGTACACCAATGGTACTGATTACCTTGTATCTGGAGAACGGAAAGCATAAATATGATAAAAAGTAGAATAATATCTTTTAATATTCTTAATAACGTGTAACTATGTAATACAACTTACCTGACCAACTCGTACGAATTCGGCTTGTCTGGCTTCTTCTTTCTTGCTTCTCCAACCCCAGTGTGGTTCGGGGATGACGTCACTGAAGGACCGTTTGTTTAACATATTCTAGGTAAAAGAGGTACAGTAACAATATCAAGAGAAAAATCATGGGGATACAGGGGCGGATCCAGGACTAAAAAGAGGGGGTTCAAAACGTTTCCAAAAACACCCAAAATGAAAGGGTGGTCCGGGGGTCCTCCCCATGGAAAATTCTGATTCCTAGATGACCGGAAATGAGCTTTCCCAACTTCTGAGGAGTCTTTTAATGACCTTTAATATAGGCCTATTTAACATTCAAGATTTTCCCCTCTTGAAAAAGGTCAGGTAATTTTATCTTTTTTTTTTAAATAGAGAGAAAAAAAATCAAAGTCATAGGCAATATATTATTATACAATAATGTATATATTCCAACAATATTGAGTAGTTCGATACGTAGTGGATCGATGAACCGATAGACCTGAAGAACGCACTTTCGTACATAAATTATTACGTCGAACCAAAAACTTGTGTATAATTTTATTTAATTGAAGGCTAGTTGGGCTAAACCTTGTTTGGCTGATCTGCCAACCTATGCCTAGGTAGGTTAGCATGCCTTTTGTAAGCCAGGACCCAGTAGTATTTTGTTACGTTACTTCACAATGTTTTGTGGAAGTACATGATGATTATTATACCCCTGGTCATTGGATAACATACATTGATAAACCAACAAAAGTAAAATCTTCTCCTTTTTTTTTTGGTAGTATCTATATAGTACCACAACACCCTACCAGGTACTCATTTATACTCCCGGGGAGACAAAGACAAACGTGTTGCCCAAAAGGACACAAGTGATTTCAAGAGTGCGAGTGTGGAATCCCGACGTTAATATTCTGTATATGTACACCACCATGTATTGTAGGCCTACTTCGTTTTTTAAAAACTTTTTTTTAATTTATTTTAATTTTTTTTTGCGAATAAAGAATAAGAATAAGAATGTTTCGTGCTTCCAAATCAACTGATCTAGTGTTCAAGTTTGAGGCTGTAGACGGTGTCTTTGGACAAAGCACTTGACCCACAGGATCTTCCATAACTTGTTGATTAAACTGCACTAATCAAAATACAGCCACAAAGAGTCGAGTATGTGTACGTAAACTTGTTTTACGAGTTCCATGGTGTTCCACAGGTATCTATAAGCGGGGTAATGGGAAGCAAATACCATGGCAATAATTGCTACATGACTTTTATGTGGTACGGTACGTGAAAATCGATTTCAACTTGTGCTATTTTGTACAACCGCTTACGAAGACAGTCCTAAGTAGTGTACGAATAAAATAAAAAGAAGTTAGGTTTTAATAAAGGTTTTGATCTTTACATTCGATGATACATGATTTGAATTATTACATTAATTGCTATAATTATTAATACTATTCCAGTTAATCCGTTTTTAAGGGCACTCTAATGACATACAATATTTTTGTGTTAACTCACCTACACAATGCATTTTTCACGTTTGTTGTTACGAGTTATGGTAAATATTCTGTATTTTGAGGTTACAGAAATGTGAGCTCTTTTCGTAGGCGATGAATTATGTGAGTTTGAAGCGTAAACTAATATCACGCTAGGCTATAATTATTATTACAATTTACTCTTAGCTGGAAGGGGGGGTATCTCGTCTTGGTAATTTAAATTAGTCAAGTAAAACGTAAACTTGTTTTGACGATTTATATAACTTGCTAATTTGAGATGCTACCCGGTATTCTAATTCATATAGGCTATATAATAATCGACCTACACTGTAATATTTCAATTTTACTGCAATGAGTTTGATAATAAAAGCAGAATGAATGAACGGCGACAGCTGTTGGTGAATCTCGGTAGCATTTGTCTGGGAACCTGGCTTTTACAACGTTTGCCATTAAGTTGATGACTACGACTCCTTTTGCGAGAAGTACTATCACTCTATTATTGATATAACGTGGAACTTGTTTGTTTGATGTAACATTTTTTAATTGGTACAATGTCATTCACTGCTAAAATGGGGATGTTTAAAGTTCACTGAAACGTCATTAAAGGCATTATGTAAAAAGAATGGGGCCAAGAAATAGAAGACATTGTTGTTTGCAGTCACTAACATCTACTTTTGATGTTGTTTAACAAGTTTGTTAGAGTATTAAATTATAGATTCATTGCCACATCCTTAAGAATTAACATTGAAGCTTTATAATGTAGGCCTATAATTAGAAAATCAAATGCCTAGAATTACTACAATACATTATGTGAATCCACGTGTTTCAAAGTTGAACAATCGTTGTATAATAACATATCAAGTTATACTTATCACCATTGCCATCATCCTCCTCATAATCATCATCATTATTTTTTTATCAAAATATTTTTTTTAAAAATGTATTTAATAATAAACACATTATTTATTAGTTAATTGTTCATCTTGTAAGAATTCGAAAAGATATGCATTTTGTTTTTGCGAAAGAATTTGTTGCTTTGTATGCTTATTACAGTTTGCATATACATTGACAACATAATTAATGGATCATGTTTTATTTTCTTGCAAAAATAATCTAAGAAAATAATGAATAAAAAATTCACCGGGATGGTTTTGACAAATTACTCATTAAGTATAATTCTATAGCTGTTGAAATATTCATCGTTATCTTTAGAAATTGTCATTACAATTCTTCGAACCAATAAAGGTCGGAACGTTCAGAACAATGATCTATGTTATTAATGCTTAAGTGTATATGTTATTTATGCTGAAAAAAAAAATCAATCTTTTCTTTATTACTTTTCTACCTCTAAAGCACACTCTGTCTTTCTTCCGCATTCTATCTTTTTCTACAATACTTACGCTTAACTAACAGGAAGTCTCTGAACTCTTTGTGATTTTCAAATTCAGCAGGGCAAGGCAACGGTGGTCCAAATAGAGGCACTGACTCTTCAGAAAAAACCCACAATCTAAAAGTACAATTAAGTATACATAAAACATATTTTAATAAAATACCTTAAATGTACAAGCAAATAATTAAAATATTGATGAATCATTCATGGTTTTATAATATCTTTTTTTTTTCTCTTTCGAACAACAATTTCTTTATCATCTTATTATTTTGGTATTTATTTATTTCACATATTAACATTTAAACTCGTTGTTTAGAGTTGTAGTTGTTTTAGAATATATACCCTGTACTGTCGGTTTGGAAGACGAGCATTCTAACCATCTAGTTCTGCATCACTTAGTTCATAAGTTGAACAATATTTTGCAAACTTACCTGTAGGTATCTTTGATTGTGTTGTAAGTAACAAGAGCAAATATATCTACGTCAAATATTGTTAAGGTGTACAATTAATAGTTTGATCAAGCATCAAACATCACTATAGACGTCTATTTAATACTGACGAAGGAGGGGGTGAGGGGGCTGAAACCGAATTTAATGAACAGTCTAGGAAATCGAAAGCAAGTCAGGCCAGCCGTTAATTTGGTGCGGGAAAGAAATTCGAGTTGTGAGAGGGTTCAAAACCTGACACTGGTTGCTTATGTTTTTGTAAGACACTTTGCTACAACTACATCTTCCTTCCGACGGGACATTAAGCCACCATTAATGTTTACATGTGTACAAAAAAACAGGAGGTTGTTTTCTGGTGTAGTGTCGATGGAATGCATTGAACTGCGGACGCCGCATGAAATGATTCGATGTTCTTGATTTTCCTACAAGGATCGGGCATTTACATTTTACATTTTAACTCTTTAGCCTAATAATTCCTATGTGTTATTTGTCTTGCTTGTTCAGTACCTATTTAACCTACATATTACAAAAGGTATGCATATTATAAACTAGGCTGACACATCCAAGATACTCAAGTAATCTTATGATTATATCACATAGCAACAATTAAAAATAATACGTATTACTATAAGGCTAATATTACTATAGTATTTCGATTAAGATATTATATCTTATATCCTATAGGCTAGTTAGAAAGAATAGTTAGAGGGATCGAAATTTTGTTGAAATAATTACAACCATGGCAGTTATGAGACTATGAACTGTCAGACAATATAAAAAACCCTATCAAATACCAATTGAATGAAACTGATAAATATTTACCGATACATCATGAACTTATATCCGTTTGAAGAAGAAACGTAATTGAATATTAGCGTGCATTCATCATCAACCGTATTTGATATATTACAAAAACTTCATTTAATATGTCATTTCATGAAAAATTGGGCTGTGGCATTTGCAAAACACATTAGCTTGCATCAAAAGCACCGGTAAAGCAAACATTAACCACAATATTATGCATATCGAATTCTACACGTTATTCAAATATATTAGTTAATCAAACCTTGATTTGAACAAATCAAAACATTTCTTTTGAAAGACCAGAATATTAAATCTTTGCCTTTTCACGCTATATCACGCCGAAAGTAAGTTAAACTTCCATGAATTGATATAATATGAATAAAGGATTACATTATTAAAACAACGCAATACTTACTTATACATCGTTATATTCATTATGATTCACAAATAGGCCTAAGTGTCGTATAATTAGGAACTTGACACATACCGGTAATTAACACACGAATGTTGTTAGGCCTATTTTCAGTTGCGGCTTATAAAGAAACGTACGCTTGATGTCAAATATTAATAGAAATCGCTGGAACTTATAACCAGTCTCATTATTTTGAACCCGTAGCCTATCAATGAAATATTAAGGTCTATTAAAATTATTACGTAGTTGACAAGCTACTATCAGATAAGCTAACTACGGTATTCCATTGCTTAACAAAGGTGGACCCCGTGTTTAACACGTTTCCTAAATAGATATTGGGCAACACTGTCACTAAGGTTCCCCATTCATTATACGAATCTATTATTGAATATCGCGATTGACGTATTTTCTATGAAGTAGTGGATACGCATTTTGACTACCATTGGACAATCTCGCACTTAACGCTCACATAATATCAGGCCCGTAGCATGACTTAATTTGTGGGAGGTTCGTTTCAGTGGAAAGTGGATCCTTTGGCTTGTATGATATTCTGGAGAACATTGTAAATATATCTACGAATATTAATTTTTCGTTTTTAAATGCGGACCTTCTCCAGGTTTTGGGCGGTTCGCCGTAAACCCTTAACCCCCACCCCACGCTACGGCCCTTAATATTGATGACATTTTGATATTAATCCGTACTAAGATGAAATGATCTCTGAAGGATTTACTAGATTTTAATATTAAGATATCAAATCGTCGGTTACATACTACATGAACAAAGCATATACAGTAGGCATATTAGGAATTTTGTGTAATGGAATTGGGTCGTCAATGTTGATTTTGAAAACTAGGTAACATAAGCATAATTTTATTTAAAAATAGGCACTTTTAAATTGATCGACAGATTAAAAATTAACGATTATAACGGCGTAAAAGCAATAAAAGGACTAGATTTCGTTAAAGTGGCGCGGAAGTTAAACTCGGGACTTGAAATAATTCTTTATAAGTAAATGTCAAAATCTACCCGTTAACATGTATCTGAACACTGCGCCACTTTATAATTTTGATCGATAGCCGGTTAAAAAAAATGTTTTGCGGATTGAAGTAAAATTGGTTAATGGACATGTTAATGATTCACAGGATAGAGATGTGACTGCAACCTACTTGTACATGACACGTGTATTATATAGATGAGTACCGGTAATAGTTCTATGCGTAAATAGTTATAATTTGTATCAAAAAGAAGCTAATATTTATTCATGGAGAAATCAAATTCTTATCTTCCCCTTTATGTATCGTTGTCATCATTTTCATCATCATCATCATCATTGTGATCATATTCATCAATATCACATCGTTATCGTCATCATCATCGTCGTCGTCATTGTCGTCGTCGTCATCGTCATCGTCGTCATCATCATCATCATCATCATCATAAATATCATCTTCATCAGAAGGAGAACATCGATGAAATAAAAAGAAAATTCAATATGATATCCGAAAACGACTCAAGGATACGAGTAAAATGAGATCGAATCATGGATGGCTTGAACGTTGGCTCGTCGTCTGGGTTAGCAACCTCTTGGAAAACAATGGCGGCAATATCATTTCCAATATGACGCTTACGCTCAACCTACAAACAAAATTAATATTCAGTTAAACGAGCCAAAAGTGCATTAAAACGCCGGCTATGATACAGGATGAACTTACCTTTGCTTAAGTCAAGTAATTCTATAAAATTAGCTTATGACTGATTTTATTATATTTGAACCTTGGCAGTGGAGTAATTCTGCAGAAGTATGCTATTACTGAGTTATGGGCTTACCAGATAAGTCAAGTGTGTATAATATATTTGTCTTCTCTTGATAGTCCAAAGCAGAGAGGACATTGGTTTCAGAAGATATACTATGGCGATGCGCAACTAGAGAAATTATTGTCAACAAGCTTTCGTAATGACAACATTGTAAATTGATGAATTGTAAATGCAACGATGCCCGGTCACGATGCTATTAGTTACGCGTGGTGGTCTGTAGACAATTACCACGAAACGTTGTGGATATTTGCAAAAAGGTTTCTTTCTGATGAATGCTACACAATTTTGTACTTCAAGTAAACATTTTGTTAATGACATATCAATTCCAATGTTTATGTTTTAAGCAACACGTTTTAACTGGAAACATTAAAGATATACATTTGTATTGAGGTAAAGCACTGTAAACTCTTTTAATTTCATACTTTGTATTTGATAATAAATAGAAGGAAAATTCAAATTTCAATATTTAAATTATTTACGCTAGGTATTTACGTATTTTATTTTCTTTTTTACTGAAATACCATATTCTTTGCAGAGACTGTAGACCTTGAAATGAGTTGTAGGTAATTTAAGAATTTTCAATAGCAAAAGTCGTAAAGGCAAACAAAAAACTGAATTGTCTTTGTGTCCCATTGGAAATTGATAAGCTAATCTATATAGCATGTTTAAGCAAACGGGTGTCTGTTATTTTTAAATTGAATCTGAATTGCTTAATAATCTTCAATTATATTGTTCAATTTGTGAGTACTCATTAGCTACAATATACACAGTATGGATGCTGATGTTATTGATTAATATATTTAGGCACGTAATGGGTCAAAACTTGCCAAGAGCGAAAATAAATCACTTTCCTCTTTCACTGATACTAACAAATCATAGACATTTACACATGCACGGTCAAAACAGGAAGTGAATTTGGTGTTGAATATAATTTGCATGGAGTTATTTAGTAGGTCTAACACATAAAAGACAGGAAGTAAAATGGTCAATATACACTGAGAGGCATATTAATATCCAATGATGATGAGAGCATAGCTCAGTCGGCTAAACTGGTGGTAGCCACTGTGTGTGCGCTAAGACGTGGAGATCTCTTGGCCCCTGGGTCAATTCTCATCGTTGCTCTCATTGTGTCTTTCGGATGTGACGTTTACAGTAAGCCGTTGGCCCGGTGTGCAAAATTGCTCATCGTTCAAGAGCGCAGTACACTCTTCGGAAAAGAGTATATAGGGATTGTCTCACGGTGTACTGCCCAATCCACCACCAGAAGGACCCCACTAGAAATAAGTCTTAAAGACTTTTGTGGGTTAGAGAGTGGGTTAGCTCCATCGGCACTCTATATGCAGTGAGCCATAGTGATCCTTTCAGATCATCAAGTAAAACATTTAAAAATCACACTTTTATATAAAACGACTTCAAAGCTTATGTTCTATGCTCTAGATTTTAACTTCAGACTAAGGTGCAATAATAAAGAATATAGAAAATTACGCATGCGTAGTACTGCTTTGAATGAAGTAGTATACCTGTTGACGGTTATCGGAGGAATAAGGTAATAATGTTGAAACGTGGTACATTATTTCATGTCCTTCGAATGTTGTATAGACTGTTTCTAGCCCCGTTGTGTCACCTGTAGAACATTGAAAAAAATATCTCTATATTATTACTATTACAATTATAATGTTAAATTTTAGACTATAAAATGCCTTAAAATATTCCTAAAACACTTTTATTTTTGGAAGAAATAATGATATTATTAAAAATGCATTAGTAAACAGTTTTGTCGATTTTTAAAAATGCTCTTAATGTTCACATTTTCCTTTAGTAACAATGAAAAATATATTTAAAAACATTATGGTTTAAAGTTGAATTTGTACTACCCTGATTCTGTGCATTATATTTTGGGTTTGCTTCTGGTTGAGAGTGGAAGCCTCCATGCAAGTCAAGATAGTTTCGTGGTTACTTCCACAAAAAAAAAAAATCCTCAATGCTACCACATAATTTCCCAGAAACCCTGAAGAGCACATTAACGAAAATACGGTCTTATTGTTTTTTATTTGATTTTTTTGAATAGTTTGATATAGGAAACGCAAATCGCATTTGTGTGATTTACAATTCGGGCCAAATAAAAAAAATGGTAGTTTTTGTCCTCTCTCGCATCCATTTTCTCTACCTCACCATTTTTTTCCTTTATCTTACAAAATGTACAAAAGTCTGGCTAACTCGCATCAGTCAAATTCCTCTCTCGATCGTTCGTGGTATGAATCATGTGTAGTGCTTCTTTTATTTACTTTCAATGTGTCTACTTGGTAAAAGTTAGAAAGTAGTAGCTGTTTCCCATCGCCGATATTGGCCACAACGACAAAGTAAAGAGTAAAAAAATAAATAAATAAAAGTGCCCTCACTCTCTTTTTTCCCCAAATTACTAGGACGAGAAACTACTTTTTTTCCCTTGGCCTAAAATGGAAAACATTTATAAACATTGTCAAGACAACACGGTGTTCATTTATCAAAAATCAAGATGTAATCTGACTATAAATTAGTATAACTTACTTTTGGTATCAAGGCCACCATTGAATCTATCCCATCCTTTTAATCTTGAATAATCTCCCAACAATCTAACAAACTTATCGAAATTTGGACTTCCGATTTCTGTGAATGAAGTCGCTGTATTCAGTGAGGCACTGGTAAAAAGGTTACATTGCTAATACTACAGTAATAGTAAAGCCTTGCCCAGAATATCAAATTTTATTTGAAAAAAATATGTGACATGACTAATTAGGGTCATGATACATCAGATCATGACCATATATAGGCACATCACGACTATATATGGGCATACACATTATTTGTCAAATAAATTGATGATAGTCTGGACAGAGCATAATAAAAAGTCATAAACTTGTCTATATATCTCTTTATACAGCTTTAATCATTGTTGTCGTGCGTTGTATTCTACAGTGGGCGCGTCACTGACATGCGTTATTCGTGCGAGCAATTTATTCTCATAATGGTGATTGAATATTTTGATGATGTGATTTTGATCATTTAATGATAATATATAAGCCTGGGACTAGTACACAATACTTCAAATAATATTATGTCATTAGCGATGCTTACAGTATTAATGTATAGGCTATTTAATGAACAACGTTCACTGAAAGTCAGATTGGTCTGTAAGCCTATAAAAGTATGTTGGGGATAAGAACAATATCCATAAAATACCGTAACAAAGGAAGAAGTAAAATGACCTGACGGATGAACGGATGTACTGAGGGCCGGGGGTGGGGGGGGGGGGGGGGGGGGGGGAAGCAGGTTCTTCGTTTTGACTGCCAAAATATTAAATGCATTGAAATCCATTATGAAACGGCGGCCCCAGCACCTACCACCCGACGTACCACCCCTATTCCGAAATTCCGATCATGAAAAACGCATCTTTTATGTTTGAATCATATTTCATAATGTGGAGTTTTCAGCTCACTAAAAACGGGGTCATCATATCGGCAGGTTATTATAAAAATGTGGCTAAAAAAGTGACTAAGCCTACCATTGCTGAACATGTCGTCATCAGTGGTCTGGCCTTCCTTTGCATAGAGTACTCCGAATTTGAAGTTGACTGATCCTTCTTGCTCCTCCAACAAAAGTAGTTCCTAAAACAGAAACAAACACAAAAATATAGCTGCTTAAGGTGGTATAAGGTAGAAACTGAAGAACATGGTACAGATATAGGCCCTCTTGATTGGTCTACCAACTGAGCTACTTGAGACCGAGTTTGTAAGTTCCATATAATATCAAAAATCTTAAAACTTATCTTTACTGAAACGTTAACTTGCTTTATTTCCTCACTAAGCGCCTTTGATACATTTTTGAATCGGCGCTATTAAAAAATATTTGTTATTATTATTAATATTATTATTATTATTATTATTATTATTATTATTATTATTATCGAAATAATTTCGTTATTGATAATAATACCGACATGATCTATTGCATAATACAAAATTAATAGCCCACATTTGTTTTAACTTATTCTATTTGATCAACAATGGTAAAAAACACCACTATAAAGCTTGGATTTCATACAATCGTTACACGATATCGCCGGCAGCTTAAGCTGATGCTGATTGGTCGGTCGAATCGGGGAGCCTTGCCGATTGCGTCGGGGACTGAGAAGCAGTAAAATGATTGCACTGGCAATTGTAGCGACAGTGTAGCGATTGTATGAAAACCAGGCTTAAACACAGGTTATTCTTTGTGATGATAGCATGGAATTACTTCACATTAATGCGAACCTTTTGAATCTCTGCTGTGAATATTTCCTTCGGTGTTTTGTCAATCCTGATGTCGAATCGTCTGAAAATAATAAATACTAGATTGAGATTGTTTATTTAACATCACGTCATAAATATCAGTAAACACTAACATTAAACAACAGTCATAACACTAAGCTTTAATAACATAAAAAAGTAGCAACAACGACAACAGCAGCAGTAACAAAAACAATCAAAACGCAAAAGAATAATAATACCAGATCTTTGTCATAATAATAATAATAATAATAAATAATAATAATAATAATAATAATAATAATAATTCATTAATCATTTATTTTATTAATGTGATTGTTTACAGATAAATAATTAGTGAATATGCGTCATCTAAATTCATTAATTAATACCGGTACAGTATTAATTTTAATTAAGTCATTCCTCGTCAGCAATTTAACACAAAGATCATTCCGCCTAAAAGAAAATTATTTCATTACAAAGTATATCAATCAACGACTCTTTTATAGCACAGATTTAATAACCACACGTTGACTATCACCCGCTTTAAATTAGTATTTTAACAAATAACACTCCTAATAGTACTCGAATTTGCTTTTTGAACGACACATGACCTATAAATAGCTGGCCTTTAAAGTTCAACATGTCTATCTATCTAATGTTAATCATTGAAATGTTTATGTTACGAGTTCACTGCGCATTTCCTTCACACGACTAGTTAAACTGTGCGTTATTCCGTTGCTTAGCGACGCAAGTTAGTATGTATGTGTATGTGTGAAAAGGTTATAGCCATGCTCTAGAACCAAAAGATATTTAAAATGAATGAGTGTTTGAAGAAATAATTAGGAACAGCTAATAAATTTACATTTTAATATTTAAAAACCGGAGGAAAACATGCGTCCGACGCCGACGAGATCAGGACGTGACGACGCGTTGAGCGAAAGGTCGCTTTCACACTGTCACAGAGGGTCAGGGGACTATCGTTGAGCCCGCCAAGCAATTACACAGAGTATGGGCGAATTCGTCGGCCACAGTTCCACCGATCATTGGCCGATGCAATGTGTGTACGCCAGGCTAAAGCTCTGTCCAGATTATCAAATTTATTTGACATAATAGGCTTACTGTTGTATGCCCATATATAGCCATGATGTGCGTATATTATGGTCATATGATGTTATCATGAACAAGCATGTCACATGTTTTTGTCGAATAAAATTTGATAGTCTGGACAGGACTTAACTGAATTTTTATCTCCGCAAAAAGGAGTTTATGTATTCACCGCTATCCGTCTGTCTGTCTGTTGGCAAGATGAAGCAAAAACTAATAAATAGGTCATCATAAAATTTGATGTTTTTAACGACGAATAAATGATATGATATCAGTAGCGGATCCAGGTATTTGAAATAAAGGTGATAGGGACGGACTTTCACAGTTGGAGAGTCTATACCACCCCAGCCCCATGGTTGGGGCTGAGGTAAGAAAATTTATGATTGCGGCACGTACATCTAGATGGCCGGAAATGGCACTCACAGATTTGTGACTATAATTTTCTTTTTATCTCCATTTTTTTTTGACAATTTGGTGGGGTCCCGAAAGGGCAGGGTCCCCTCTATTTAATCCGCCATTAGATATGATACTGCCCTGCAGTCGATTTCAGAAACACATGATGGTGTTATGTATCAACCAAGTCCTTTTTGGTCAGGATGCTAGATCGAGGAACATTTTGGTAGAACTCTTCGGGGCCCCATAAGGATTGGGAGCCCTGCTGACCGGCGCATGAGAGTTTTTTTTATGCATTTGAAACTATTTAGGCAGATTCAGAGCAGCACCAATGTAGATACAATTCAATTAAAAATGATGATGATAATTACTGATGAAATCATATTTAATTCATAATTGATTAGATAAAATTGTCAAAGCCAGCTTTCCAAATATTATGAGCGTCTTGTCTAGAAGCGAAGGAGGCTTTGCAAATAGTATACCGGCAGCCAAACGAACATGAGTCTCCATTTTTCTAATTTTAAAAGTGACCTTCCTTGATATTGCCAAGAGAATTTGACAATCTGTAGTGTTTGAAATATACATACCTGAACCAAACTAGCTATATTCATAATTAAAGATTGTTTTTAAGTTCAGGCCTAAGTGTAATTTGTTTTCTTCTATATGTCCTTCATCAATTTAAAACTAACCAGATGGAAATATTTTGCAATTTCGAGTAGGAATATTAAGTGCCACTTTATTGCTTTAATGCCGCAGCAAACGTTTCATTTGTACAAGTTTAGATCTAAACATAGTTTAATTAATCAGTGGCATGCCATATGGGGTAGTTATGTTAATTATGCTACGACTTTCAAACTAATCTAAGACGCATTGGAAGATTTATCTATAAAGGTAACATGGATTAAAACATTCTTCAAATTACTGATGTCCTCCAACATTTTAAAATGAATGGTGAATTACGGAAAATGTGAAATAGGTCGTGCCTTGTAGGCCTACATCGAGTTTCAATCAGTTAAATTGCTGTGCCGACACAGGGAGTTACTCTGATATACGTAAATATGCCTACTTCAAAAGGGGACGAGAAGTATTTTGAGTGCATAAACGCTTATATTTTGTGTAGCCTAGTTGCGTAGAATGGTATATAACTCACATTCTGATTTTGGAGTGACATGTTTGGGTAAAAGACTAATACGTATAGTACGTTCCGACTTTTCAACAAAAATTACGAAAAAGTTTGGAGAATATGTTACGGACGCAGAAATGTTGGAATATTTGTTTAAAAAAACAAACACACACACATTTTGTAAAACAAAAAGTGATTTTGATTTATTTATGTCATTTTCGTTTGGGAAAAACAAATTTGAATTAACAACTTTTAATCATGTTGTGTTTTCTTTTTGATAAATCTAGTATTTGTAAGCTTATTGCTTTTTTATTATCTTGGGTGTTAAGCCAATTGAATTGAAATCATACGCACGTTTAGCAATTATTAAACATGTTTTGCCTGGTTGGTTATGTTTTGATGTATGTGCTGCTGCGGCTGTATTGGATGAGAGGAGGGTATGTTTGGATTAGTAGACTTACTTTAAAATTCCTTTAACTGACATTGGCTTTGTGGGATTGTACAAGACACTTATCTTTTGAGTTCCCTGAAATGAAAAAAATATATCCAAATATCAACACCACGGGTCATACCATAATTACATTGCACACCTAAATATATACGTCTACTACTACACCGAAGGATCCACTTATTAATCTCAGATAAGATAGTATAATACATAGGCTACTCCAAGTATCGAAATGCACGCCATCGTGTTGGGATTCAATATTTCGAGATCATTATGTCATCAGCAGGAATTGTAGGCTTATTGCTTAATACCCAAGATAATATCCAAATCTATTTTTATACTTTTATATATTGGTATATTTTGTGTCTTAATGTTTTTGTATGTCAACTCATTTAGCCTTGCGTGCTCCCAGTTTTGGGACACTGTTCTAGGCTCTTTATTTGTTTCCTGTATTGTTTTTATGCAATAAAGTGATTTTATATATAAGCCTACACAATTCCTGATGATGACATAGGTCTAATTAATGTCGAAATATTGAATCCCAGCACGATGGCGTGCATTTCGATACTTGGAGTATGTATTATACTATCTACTACTAAAGCAATACAATATAATGTATATATAGGCCTATTTGAATTAAATTGTATATAGACCTACCTATCTTTCAGTAGCAGTCATCACCAGTATTAAAGATTTTTAAATTAAAGCTTTATAAGTCGTCGCCTCCAAAGTTATTGTAGTTATCTTTTTTTTTTTGTAACGTTTCAGACCCTAGCCATAGTCTCAGTAGTTTTAAATTGCATTGTATTACACGACACATACATGTATATGCCTACTTTAATTGGTTATTTTGTTTCATTAAGTCGGCCTATCCAGACTATCAAAAAAATGTGACATGCTTAAAAATGGTCATGATGACAACATGTTATAACCATATATAGGCACATCATGACTATATATGGGCATACAACTGTGTTTTTTACAAAAAATAAAAGTTGGTAATCTGGACGGAGCTTTAGAGATAATGTATTTGTTTATTGAAAACGTTGGTTTTGCCGTAACATGATTGTATTGACTTGGCGTTTACAGACAATGAGTTGTGTATAACAGTAAATGATAGAGAAAGAAGAGTGATTGAAAATGATGTATTCCTAGCTTTACCCACAGCATCGCTGTCAGACAGATAACAATTACATGACAGCATAAAAGATTGCTGGGCTACTGTCTAGAAACGACGTCGCTGTTGTGCGTGTTTGGATACAGATGCCAACATAGAGGGCTATCAGTTTACATTTTGATACATTAGTTGTTACTGATCAATCTTTAATACCTTGAATCTATTATTGGTTAATATCCCTGATTATTACTACTTGTAATGCAATTTGATCATTCAATTATTCTGTCCTTTGAATGATGTGAACATGATCTTTGAATATCAAAATCAAAACAGCAGCCTTTGATGGATCAGATGCGAAGGTTTTAAATTTGTTGTCGATTATAAATATTTAATGGAACTAGTAATAAATAGATGTTAATGGGCTCGTCCTTCAATCGTGAAATAATGTTTTTGTTTATATCATGTCATTGTCTTACATTGTACCTAGGCCTGGGACAGAATATTTACATCTAATAATTGACAAACCTACTCGCTGTTGAAACAATTACAATAATTTTACAATTATAATTTGATGATCAATTCAGTACAACAGAAACGCTACTTAAAAACTAAAAGTACAGTTGATTTCAGTCTTTCGGTTCAATAAGTATTGAGTTGGGCAAATGTTGCTTACACTAGGACAAACCAGACGCGATTTGACGCGCATATTCATGTTTACTACGGTCGATTTCCAGTGTGAACCATACTAACGCAAACGCAACAAGTAAAAAGAAAGTTACTTACAGCCAGGCTGCGAAGGACAATTTTTTTTATATGCTGTGCAACTGATTTTTTTAGGACACAAAAATGGTGCTTGACAAAAAACTCGGGATTTTTGACGAACAACTCGGAAACGGTTACTGAGATACATATTTTTAAATATTTCCCAGGGGGCTTACCCAAATTTTCCCACCTTTTTCTGCAGTTTTCAAATATTCAAAAATTTGTATCTCATTAACCTTTTCCAAGTTTTTCGTCAAACACATTTTTTGTGTCTTAGAAAAATCAGCTCACAACATTTTAAAAATAAGTATTTTCATGAGCCTGGCTTGTCCTTGTGCGCATGCGCCGGATGACGCGGTAAGGTAACAGTTTGATATTACTCAATCTGTATGTAACAATGAAGTTATTTTTGTTAAAATTTTTGGTTCACCTGTAACAACAAATGCTCAACTCAGGTGAACCATTACCGATTTTGATCTATAGATGACAAACTAAACAAAAACGCATATTATATTTCAACGATTTTGTGAACACGGATAGTACAATAGTTGCATTCGTAGTGATTACGATCTGGGCTTATAAAAGCCAAATACCAAGTAGTATTGATCACGTTTGAATTAATGACACTAATAACAAGCCTCTGTAGACTCAGTTCATCAACAAGATATCGAATCCAAAAACAATTCGGCTTATTAGCAAGAGTGTGTTTCTTTTTATCATTAATTTGGATTCTCGGGTGTTTATGTCAAGGTATGCGAACATAAGGTTTGAAATGTAAACATCGTCAACGCAATAACGTTCACGATTTTGTTTACATTTCCAACAGGCTTAAGTTCATTTATTATGCTGAGAAAAATCTATATTCATTAGTCAGTCCACTAAAAGAGATCAGGGAGGATAACAATTCTTTACGTCAATCCGATACGATATAATATGCAGAATTTTCAAAACATTACCAACTAATAAGTGATCTTATCCTAGGCCTATGTGTAATTTATATTTGACTTGAATCGCAATAGATAAATACATTTAATAAAATAAACATATTCTCAATGGAGTTTCAAGTCGTGAAGAGTTCTGCCCTGAGGTTAAAGAACCCTCTGACTGTGCTCGTACCGGAGTAGAAAAAAACAAACTACAGGGCACTCGGAGATTGCATACCTCCGCCCACATCATAATTCTTCTCAGTGTAAATTTCCCCCGCATATTGTCCCCATAAAAGAAAAAAAAATTAGAAAAAAAACCAACCAAAAACAATTAAACTCCTTGGGATTTAAACCCGGGGCTGGCAGTGTGGAAAACACTTTTCTAACCAACCAAACTGTTTTCACAAAAATCACTTTGAAATTAATCATCATATGTTTATTGTTTATTTACACTATACCGGCAAGCCCGTATAAGAACACACACACACACACACCCACACCCACCCCTCCCCCTACACACCCACACGCACACCAACACACACATCCACGTCTATACGGCAAACAGTTATACAAGTTTTTCGATCATTGTGTCCTTGAAGTTTGATGAATTTCTGATAAAAACTATGGGCTCTAGGCTGTTCACAACAAATATTCCGACAGACAAATAAATAACTAAATAAATAAACAGGCAAAAAAATATCCTCCTGCCAAATTCGTTTATTTAAAGCGCATAGAGGCAAATTTCTTGTATTATGTGCTCTATGAGATTTGCGTTATTATTATTATTATTATTATTATTATTATTATTATTATTATTATTATTATTATTATTATTATTATTATTATTATTATTATTATCTTAACCACAATCTTTAAAATGTAATACAAGGCTATATATTAAAACAATAATTCACTGATCATGTTTTTAATTACATAAAATTAATACTTATGTTCATTTATTACACTGTCTTATTTCAACAGGCAAATGATAGGTGTGCAACGAATATGGCAGAGTTTTACAGCAACCACGCGCTTTTTGCAAGTGCATGTAGTTATAGTAGTACATAAATGTACTGTTCTAAATGCCAGATATTATGCTTAAATTTTATCTGTTGTAAATACGGTAAAATAAACCAGTGGCATGACTTAAGACTACTTACGTCAAGCAATCGAATGCTGTATTTGAGATAATCTAAGTAGAATTTTATAGGGAAAGCTTTTATTTAAATATATCTTACGCGCTCAAAGCGTGTCCTGAGTGCTCCACCTGTATTAAAAACACGTAATGCGTATGTATATTAATGTTATTCTGGTGCTTATGCTGGCTTAAGTTTAATCATTTCTATTTATATATGTGTATTGTCATCTAGAGGATTGTTTAAAAAAGAAAAAAAATATAAAATTCTACCTAACCTAGTTTGTCTGTCTTCTTAGTATGGAGTATGATAGAAAATTAAATATAAGGTAGTGAGCATCCATTTTACAATGTACCATATAGTATGTTACATAATTGCAAATAATGAATAACACGTCGGCCATAAACCAAACGCGTTTATTCGACACTGTTCTATCACCACGGCTAACTCATCGCAGTTTCGTTTTGTTTCGTTAGCTGTTTAAACTTGGTTTTTCACTTAGCACACTTCAAGCGCAAACGCAGGACACCTGACGCAAGACGCGGCTGTTTCTTGTCCCTTAAATTGCCCTATTGCGAATTTGCGTGACAAGTATGTGGCGGCGCCAGAGATTCCCAGAATACTAAGAGGACCAATATTCACTACAAAGGTTAAAACCCCTCAGAAGCCACACCATGGTTGGGGAGTGAGGTGAGGACATTTTTAAGACTGGTACATCTAGAATCCCGGAATGGCACCTCGCAGACTGTAAAAATGCTCTTTCAATGAGTGGTTTCTCGACGAAGTGATTGGACTCATTCCGACAGGAGTACAACTTAGTGTCTCCGACAGGGGTTATGAGCCCAGACACCACCATAGGCGCCTCCACTGTGAGTACAGTATACAGTGTTGATAAAAACACAAACTGTAATGCATTTGTCATTTTTACTTGAAGAATTTATTGTATATACATTTGGAAAAAGAGATAACAAGTGTATATTTAATGCCTACGATACACCACGTAGATCGACAATATGTGGGCCTATATTAACGTGATATGCTGAGTGACATTTTCTGGATATCACGTTAATCTCCGTTGACAGGAACGCTGGGCATAGGGATTAATACATAATCTCAGCAGATTAACTAAATAATCCAGAATCTTCAATTTTTAAAGAAATGTCAACAAAATCAAAGAATGCCTATAAGTACTTACATACGAGGATCATATATAAACTCCGAACCGAATTATCGCCAGGGGCCGAAATGAATTTGTTTCAGAAAAGTAACATGATAAATGAAAGAATTGAATGAATTTATAATTCCATGTGATGATAACATTATAACTTATAGTAAGCGTATCCCCATGAAGCTCTTCACGTTATATACATCACTTGGTTAATGTGAAACACAAGGTAAAACCCACTAAGTAAGAAGACCTGTTTTCAGGAAACATTTCAGTGTTTTAACTGCAAATAAGTCATATTGCACACGAGACCAAGCTCAAACCTCATTCAAATGACGCTAACTTATTTCAACCCTCCCAGTGAAAAATAAGGAGAGTAACGCTGAAAAGATCTTCACTGTTTAGCGAAGACATGCGGCCACCACCAGTTTAACCAAACAAAGCCACACTGCAGCTCTCCTAAATGGTAACAGGAAATATTAATAGGAAAGTCAATAATGTACAAAATGATTGGACCTAGAACACCAATAATATAACAGGATGTCATCTGAAAAATAATAAACAACAGCCATTATAATAAATTTGTATATTGGTAATTTCAAGTGATTTAAATTGTTAACAGACATACAGCGATTCCAAGTTCGACAAATTTGGAGGTGTGAGGCTTTCAAAACTACCAGTTTTATTGCATCTAATTTTATCTAATCGAAAATATACGATGCAATAGTAAGGGACAACATTTTATAAACATGAGATATCATATGGTATTGCATGAGAAACCATATAAAAATGGGTTGGGTTACGTTGAATTTTGGTCGGAGTTGGTTTTGGTGATTTGTTAGTTGGGACGAAATGTTTGCCTTGGGCCGAGTTGTTGTGCCGAATTTGTTTTGGCCGAAGTGACTGGTATTGAAAAAAACAATCCTATTTTAAGTATACCTACTATAAATGGGAATGTTTAAGGGAGCTACAAAAGCCACAAATAGTACATATTTTTAAATATAGGCAATACGTGAGTGAGAAAGCTGAGACTGTGAGGCTCACCCTCAGTGCGTAAGGTTGGTCTGTTCACAAAAGATTACAGTATTTTACCGGCTCGAATTTTCACCGAGGAATATGGTCGTGAAGTTCAACAGTTTGACACCTAGTCCACATGTCTTTATTCAAATAAGAACTCCTATGTAACAGGAATGCAATAATTATTTTGTCTGCTTCATCAGGCAGCAAATGATTTGTCAATTATACATTCAAATTTGCAAAGAAGCAATACAAATTGATTATTTAATTTCATAATTCTGTTCCGTGGCATGAATAAACATGTACGACATCAGACATTAACATCGTAATCATTTATTGTAATGTTGAAATTGCATTGAGAAGGCTGACTTCCGGCCCTGGGTTCACTCAAAGAGTATAAAACTGCAAGAGGTCCCACTGCCGGAGATTCTTTGGAACGCAATCCTATTTCAAAAAGTACTACCCAAAAGGGGCGTGGCCTTAACAGACGTTCGGTGATCGAACGTGTGCTGCATGTTCGAGTTTCGAACTCAATTCGAATTCGAATAGGGCGCCCCTTTCGTGGTAGTACTTTTTTAACGTTCTATTGCCTGCATACAAAATCATGGCAGCGGGACCTCTTGCAGTCTTATACTCTTTGGTTAACTCTGGTGAACCTTACGATATGAGGGCGTATATCGGTTGTGCCTGATAAAGAACATTTCGTTGAAGAGTTTTAGGGTATTATTTGAGCACTGCTACTAACTTAAACATGCTTATAAACATATAAAAAAGTATTTTACATGAAAGTAAAGTTACAAAAACAACCAATGATCAATAAAAAGTAATCAATTACAAATTAATAAATATATAATAAATGGATATAATATATTGAATAAATATATAGAAAATTAATTGTCTAATTCAAGGCGAGCATGCTTTAGAAAATAAACAACTAACGCTAATAAAAGAAAAAGCCACTTTAGTTTTGTGATGTCCTGGTTTGAAACATTTGCTAATTCGGCTTATGAATGGCAACTGATAAAAATGCTCTTCATAATATGTAAGCAGATTTGTAAATTGTTACATATTACATATTGTTCTTCTAGAACCTTTAATGCACCAATACGAGCATTATAGTATGATTCTTTACATTACTGCACTACATTTTCACACAGCTAACTCCCCACCCCCCACATTCGTTAATCAACTGATAGAGCACCGCATAACCATAGAGATTTCTATTTCATCTATGGCATAACTATAGACCATTCATGATCATTCTAATGACATCATTATATAATATCCTCTAATTTATCGGTTTCGTACTGCTGCTTGAGAATGAAATGATGGGAGATTAATTCCTGACTGCCGAAAACAAGTTGCAAAATATGGTTTACATCTATTTTGGCAAATAAAGCTAAGATAATATTGTAGATAACTCGCTGTTATGGTTACAACAATCCATATTATGAATGTATTAGTGATGTTTACGCTGCGGTTGTGTCGTCAACAAGTACTGTCGTTTAGAAGTCTTTTGGATAAGCAGTCGGATTACACAGCATAGGTTCATGTTTTCTTAAGTATAATCCTATCTTAAATACATTGTGATAGACGTACCTGTATAACACTAACAACCGTTTACAACTATGATGACAAACGCACATTAAATAATAACTCGGCATTCTCATTATATAATTGTTGAATTTCTTATCTTCGACCATCGTGCAGTGACACCGAAGATACTGTACTGTATAGTTTACATTAGTGCATGTATAGATAGGGTCTACTCTCATCGTAATCTTCTTATTCCCGACCGAACATTCACATTACCCGCTCCGCCGCTGCATTGTGTACCATTTCTACGCAATTACTGCCTGTCGCTATGCAATTATATTTCAGATCACTACATGATTATTGCCCATTCCACGTGTTTAATTATTGTCCGCTTATCAATTTCACTTTCTTTTCTACAAGATGACATTACAAATAGGCCTAGTGAAAAATGGAGTTTGCCGAGCATTCTTCCTAATTAACTGTATTGTATAACAAAATATATTTTTAGGCTAATCGATTCATATTTTTCATAAATAAAAGTGTTTATCTTGTGCTTATAAAATTTCTGTATTTTATACACTAGGCCTATGTAGGCCTACCTTTTCTATAGTTAATAATTACAATGCTGCAGACCCTACAACATCATTTCAAAGCTAATAGCTTTTTATAATGGTGTCTAATGTAATAACTAGTAAAATGTTGATATCGTCAAATGGGTTTCGGTGTTGATGGAATGCATACGTGTTGCCAATAGAATTTCATATTGATGAGGTTAATAGAAGCCGGCAATATCGAATGCAACAATGTTACGCTTTACCAATAATCAGATTGGTGCCAGAAATTGGCACACAATGTTAGAGGTTATTTTTTTCCAATCACAATAGAAATTGAATATTAGAGGGCCCAACATATTGCAGTTTACGTAGTACCGTAATGTATGTTTAAGCTGTTGTTTTGTGGGACCTTACAAGAGGCGAGGCTTAGCGGAAAGGTAATTTATCTAAAACGTGTTATAGTCATATATCGCAATCGACTTAAATAAATTTTACCTGTTTCCTCCACAATATGCCTCTGTATTGTGGAACGTTGTGGTTGTTGGCATCAGTCAGTACCACGGAAAGGAAGTACACGTTCTTTTCAACGTCAAGACCAACGTAGTTTTGATGGACTGTTGAGAAATAACGAATGCACAATTAAACTCTACTTATTCATGGTATTTACATATGAAAAAATAAACTCCAGAATGAAAAAATAATACACATTAACGGTTTAAAACATGTGAGGGTAAAAAATGTGCTGACATGATTTTCAAATAGTAATCTAATCGAATAAGCCATCGCCGATGTCACAAGGATTTCCACCTACTGATTTCGACCTCTCTTATAGAGGCTATGCGTAACGTACGGTACTAGACTAATAGTGCATTCGGTACTCTCCAGGTCAAATGTTCTATTATTGGGGCCGAATTAACCAGGGGTGAGTAAATCCCTGTGACACTAGCACACGTTTTGACGTCTGTAGGCCTATAGGTCTTGACGTCTGCCATAGAGCCAGGCGTACACGTTGCTTCAGCTGAGTATTATTCAATTTAATCATAGAGGAAATAGTTTCTCTATGACTTAATTTAATTCAAACTCAATTCAATATTTATTTGCTACAATATGCCACCAAGGGCCATTATCGAATACTCCATGCAATTATTGTACAATAACACCGGTACGCCAATTGCAAGTTACACATATTGTACCTGTATTGGATAAATGTTTTTAGCTCAAAATCATTTGGCCTGCATTCTGAGCACTTGTTTATAAACGAAGGGGTGATCGAGAAATTGATGAATTTTACCGTGAAGAAAAGTTTCATTTCGATTTTATGTTTTGTAGTTACGCCTATAGATTGAAACAGAACCTTATGAGAAAGATTGGACTTTAACTACCCAAGAATCAATAAACACATCGAAACATAAATTTGCAGAGTTTCATTAGCTCGTTCCATGCGTCCACGTACACGCACTGATGACCTGTTCAAGTCATAAATCACACGCAAAGCGTGTCGTGATTTCTACAATTTTCTTATAGATGAATATATGATTATATCGTAGTAACGAATATGCTGCCAAACTGAAAGATGACGTGGGCATATTAACTTGTACATTAGGCCCTAAGACAAGCAGAAATGCTTGCGATCATCATTTAACGTTTCCATTCCATTCCGTTTTATATTGGGTTGACATTTTTGCCACAAGTTCAGCATAGGACGTTAAAGATGAACTTAGTGAATGTGGGTTATGCATTTTTATACCTCAAGGCCTACGTTTAATCCAACATGAATTAACACGCTAGCTGCCTCACCCGAGCGTGGAGGGAGTATTGGTTAGCTGAGGATATAAACGATGGCAGTCAGTCTTAATAGGCCTATGTAGTTCGTGTTTTCGAAATGAAATGAACTTTGATAAGTATACACTATCCAAATTGAGCTATTAACCTAAACAATTATTTATTTGTGTTATGCTTATTTAATATCAATTCAACAATAATACAAAATTTTGAGTCAGCAAAAACATTAATTCATCGAAACATTAATTCTCATCCACTCTTATCTGTGGTTTTTTAAATTACATATGAATTTGTGTAAATATGAAAAAGTATAACTATCAGACCGTACGAATAAACACTGTAACAAATTACATCAGAAAAATCACACATTTTACACCAACCTACTCACACACGTTACAGTATCTCATTTACACTGTATACCGTGTACATTATGTGTGTTTTATTATCCATCCAACACGATAGCGCGTTCTTACGCGCTCAAACTTAATTGCAAGATTTATATTCGTCGTTGATATACTGAAAACTCACGATTTAATACGCACCTCTCTAAGCGGACTTAAACCACTCGCTCTAACTGCTTAACTAAATGTCACTATAAGAATTCTAAAAGAAATGGAAGTACTTAAGGCGAGCTTACTGACTATGACACATTTTGAGGTTGCTTAATCTTGAAAGCGTAGCCCAACCGAAGAGAAAAATATGCAAGGGGTTTTCTAACTATAAATCAAATACAATTTCTGATTGAAACATTCAGGGTACAGTAATTGGAAACTAGACCTTCATTTCAAAGTCGACAACTATAGTACAATTCTTCGAGATCATTTATTACTTTACCGTATATATTTAATTTTTCTTACCTTCTTCTCTGTAATGTTTTGTCTCTTCTTTCTTTCCTCCTTTTTCCTTTGTAATCTCTTCGGGTTCTGTCCCCTCCCTTGTCATTACTTTAAGATGTTAATTCAAATGCGTTTGACACGTTTGTATGCACTAATTATTCATGTATTGTTGTGTATTTTTATTTTTTATTAAAATATGCAAGCAGAAATACGGTATAGGTGTTAAATGTACTCGACGTGCACGCAGCACGTTTGTTCATGTTTTGCGTGACGTTGATGTTGCGTATACGTCACACTTACTATTCACATACCCAATGGACTAACAAACCAATGGTGAGTTCATGGTGCACTGTGTCCACTTACACGTAGACCAAAAACATATCTTACCTTTTTAGTTCCGATGTGGAGCTCTAGAAGTAGGTACAGTAGATCTGTTTTGTATAGGCGGCCGTTAGTGCCAGTATACCCTACTGCCTCTAATATACTGCCCTCATCTGAGCTTTCAAGACTACGAGAACTCAGTTGTTAAAATAATGCTTTGACACAAGTTCAACAATGCAACCTTCAGCGGTATATTTATGATAAGAAAACAACCAATGGATCGCATTATTCAATAATCACCATCATATAAACTCAGTTTTGCTTCATTTGATTGAACTCCAATGAGAAATATAACTAAAAACATAATTATATTACTATACAAATGTAATTAAATTCTACACGTTTGTTCGTAAAACTGCATACATTATTCAAGAAGGTAATTACTGCACACTTTCTTCCATCACCCTCGATATGAGTGCCTTTGGGACGTCTATTTTTATCTAATAATTTCTTTCTGCCTTTATTATTTTACTTATAAGTTTGAAAAGTCTGGATTTTTGTTAGGTGCTCTTTGTTAGTCGCATACAGTGTACAAAATGTTGCAGTTATTATCAGTATTTAAATTACTGTTATTAAGTTTATATATGGTTTCATATCCTATCTAGAACTAAAGTCTAGTAAATATTCTATTTATGATATTTATGACAGTCCAAGATTACTTAAGCTATGCCTAGGCTAGACTTGCCTACAGTACCTTGACAGTGTTGTCCGTGCACCTATTTCTACACAAATTACGGTTTATTCACAGAATAATTCATTGCTTGCTTTATCAACTATATTTTATTTTATAAGCATCAGTAAAATGTTGCCCAGACTCAATGTGCTTATTTTTTGGCCGTTTTTTAGGCTCAAAATGTTCTTATTTTGTTCTTATGTTACACGCTTTTCAAATATACAAAATTATTTTTATACCAGTACTGTATACACTGTACTGGAATGTAGGTAAAAGTGACCATGGAAAAAATGGCCCCATAAAAAAGCCCCTTTAAAAATGGCCCCAAATGGCAGGTAGGTAGACCTACTGTACTGTATTATAGAGTGTATTACATAATCACACCTACTGCACATAAGGTACAGACATACTTTTTGGGTTTTTCTAGATTTTAAAAATAAAAATCTCCTTGACATTTTACCTCAGCCTCAATTTGTTGTTATTTTGTTCTTAATTTTTAAGCACTTCAGTTTCAGTATTCTTATAAAATGTGTTCTTATAAAAACAAGTGTAGCCTATTTGCATCAGTTTTGTCTTAAAGCTTGGTTTCCATACAATCGCTACACTGCTGCTACGTTGTTTTCAGTGCGATCGTTGTACTGCGTAGCAGTCCCCTACGCAATAGGTTCCCGATTCAACCAACCAATCAGCATTACCGAAAGGTCGGCGACAGCGTGTAACGATTGTATGGAAACCAAGATTTACACATATCATTTTATCTCTTTATGCTCTTTTGTACTATCTGATATTCAATGACTTTTAATTAAAATTCGGCATCATATCGCGAGAACACCAAGAGTGGTAATAATAGTCGAGGCAAAGCTGATGAAGCTGACACTCGGGAGTGTTGATCCTGGTTGAACATTGCCGAATTGTCGGTGACGAATCGGAGAGGCTCCCGATTGCGTCAAGAGACAGCTACGGCACGACGATATTACTATTTCAGTTGTCAGTTCAAGCTCCGGAACTGGTTATCACCAGTTGTTCTGAGGTCCTACTATGACTGTATTTCAATCTTTCCTATTTGACAATTCCTAAATCTTTATTATCATTTTTGAATTCTCTTTTTTTTCTGGTCATTTGTTTCTGACAATTCAACCCAGTTCTGCACTCTTTCTGTTCTTTCTGTAACACACAGATATGTAACTTAAAATGCGTACAGGCCGTAATGGGAAAGCCAATGACCGATAATTACAGATTTGACGACCATCATGACAGTAATTAAATTGATGGGCATTGTTCAGATAACACAAATTTGACTGAACATATGCTTATATATTGTAAATGACGTAACTACAATACAAATCAACTTCAACGTACAACAAACTAAATGAATTGTCATTGGACACCGATAACTGTAAAAAGAGTGACTAAAAATATCGAGTACTGTACTAAGTACTAGCCTAACGTAACTTAATGACTGCCCATTGTTAATACTAAATGGTATCTTGATTTATAATTATATATTTAACTATGATTTTTCTTGTCGCAACCACATGAGTGTGACGTAGAAGTTCAGATGCATCACAGTCAGTATCGTCTTGGAAATGATAGGGCTGCAACAAACGCATCAACTCCTCAGGATATTTACATTTTAACAGAATTAGGAAATTTTTTATTTGTCCTCATTCTAATCGAAAATCGGCAAAACTTGGGCTGGGCCCCTAAGTACCCGCGGCAGCCACAGTGCAGTGCCATACGACTTATACAAACATTTAACAGACACATACAGTTCGGATACAGACATTGTCCTTAACCCACCTAACTCCCAATGTGAGGGTTATTCGCGGAGGCAAGCGATCAGACTCCAATTCAAAACCCGACGCTGGCCAGGTTTGAACCGGGGTCTTCATCATAAGCAGAAACAATACATCTCAGCAGGCCACTCAGCTCACCGGAATATAATGTAAACATTAAGAACTACCATATTAACAGCCTCTTAAAAAGACACCAAAATTATACTAATGTTTAGGTCTAACCTTTAAAATTTCATTTTTATGGTGTCATTTTGAAAGATACAAGCTTCTACTGGGTTGTTCAACGTTTGGAAGTTCAATCAATGTCATATGGCGATTGCGTTGATACTGATTAGTTGACAATTTGCCATTGTATGAATGACAAAGATCTCACACGTACTATTCTAGAACAGCTCTCAATAAATTAAGCGTTTAGCGTTTATATGATCGCGACTAGAGCGCTTTAATGTACGCATAGCTCGTGTTTCAAATAACAGCAAAACATAATCAATAATCTACGGACGCACCATTGATGCACATTATTACAAACTTCAGTAGTTCGGGTCGATTCCTGAATCTTGTCAACCAAGCGAATCCAATAAAAAAATAACGAACATATGGAACAAATAATGAAAAATATGACATAGACTTATAATTATTGGTCGTTGGTTCACGGAGGAATACTAGTTGTACTAGCTTAATATTAGTTTACTCACCCTTTCCAAGGAAATATTTGAAGTACCATCGAGTTTGGTTCTCGGGGTTTTCTAGATGAACGTCTGTGCCAGTAGATGCAGCGGACAGCTGGTATACACAGTAGAGCAGGTTGGAAGAAGGCAAACCAAAAACAGAGTTATTGAATAAAGTACCAGTAGAAATATACGAAAATTGTAATTAACATGGATATATAAAGCTTGGTTTCCATATAATCGCTGCACTTTCGCTACAGTGTTTCGTGTGCAATCGTTGTACTGCATAGGCCTAGTAATCCCCGACATAATGGAAACCAAGCTTAAAAAGTGGCTGGATAAAATATGAACACAGTTTAAGATTGGTATCACTACAAGTAGGCCCGTAATTAAGGAAAGATTCTATGGTTCGACCAAATACCCTTTTCGAGCCAACCCCATAACTAATAATCAAAACCCTTCACCTTGCATAAAACCCACCAGAACGATGATGAAATTCACTATTTAAAATTTTTTATGTTTAATGTGCAGGAACAGTCCTAGTTTTTGACGCACTCGCGTGGAAAAAAGATAAATATGACACACCTTCGTCAGCAGCATTTCAAATTTTACGGTATCTATTTAAAAGTATCTCTCCGTCTCTCTTGTCCATTTGTAAATTGATAGATTAAATAGTAAAATGGACGAATGCACAAGTATTCTTGATGGACGAGTGAAATAGTGGAAAGAGAATTTATTCCATAGCATAGTAGCGTGCTAACTGAATTATTAATTAATACTCAAATAAATTGATGACTCTAATATAATGTTTTGAATTGTTTGTAAACTACAGAAAGTTAGTCCTTAATAATCTGTTTTGGAATCATGCAAATGATTTTATACACACTTTTTAGGATTGTTAGTTTCTATGACATAATATATATGTATTCAGTTTGTGTAGGCCTAAACATAATATTAATAATAATTAAAATATAATAAAAAACATAAAAAATAATGATGATATTAATGATAACGATAATAATGATAATAATGCAAACTTTCAAACAATATAATGATAATAATAATAACCATAAAAGTAGTAATAATTTATTATACTACATATTGTGACTAATGCATGAAAACATCTATGCATTTCACAGGTGAGAATTAGAAAGTGCTTTAAATGTGTTAATTGATTGAGCCTGCAGTGTTATAGTTCGGCACACCAAAAAGGTAGATATGCTCTGCTCACTTTAAGGATGAACTCAGATTTGTACAATGTATAGATAGATAATGCTGTTATCAATTTTATGTTAATACATATCGTATTATTTAAGGTTCAAAATCCTCGACAACACCGACTCTTTGCATATAATGAAATCCCCTGTTTTACTGTCATTGCCAATAAGAAATCTGAAAGCCATTAAAGAAATTCGAGTGGAAATTAACAGTCCATTTACGGACTTATTTTAGGATCGACATTTACCCATTGAAATGGTAAGTCAGATAATGTATGCATGGCTAAGTGACTGATATAATCACTGTTAATGGAATGAATATAATGGTAAAACATAATGTAATATGGAAGGCTAATTAGAATGATGTTATGTAATTAATTCGATTCGTTAAAGATAAATTCGACCATCAAAATAACGTCTTCGATTATGTTGTTTGTACATAATTAAATATGATTAGATGTAAAAGTTGTTAAAATGTAGCGAAAGGCGACATTTGGCGATTCGTACAGCATGGAATAATACTGTAGAGGGATAACATTATCATGAATACTGAAGATAACACCTACCTCATCTCTACTCCCATCTTCCACTCGAAATCTGCCTGAGTAACACCCTTCTGAATCACAAGAGACTAACTGTAAAAAAGCAACATTATGAATTCCTCGATAAATAATGAGAATTAGGTCCATGCAGGTTGAAAGGAGAGGGATGGGCAGCCGACTTGCCCTCCCTAAAAGATTGCGAATTAAAAAAATAGAAATTGTAAAATTAGTAGCATATTTTGCCGTCCTTGTGCAACAATAGATATAGTTTATTTCATTAATAAAATCATACTCTGTAAATTGAGATTTTGTTTGGAAACGTCGTGACATCGTAGGTGAAAAAGAAATATTGGCTTAAGTTTAAAAAAGTGCATGTCCCTATTTTTGTTTTAAAGATGGCATGGTATTAAATTAAACACAAGTTAATGGATGTCTAAAGTTTTTTACAATTTGATTCCAACAAAACATCATCATCGTCATCATTATCGTCATCATTATCGTCATCACCATCATTGTCATCATCATCATTATCATCATCATCATCATCGTCAACATCTTCATCATCATTATAATTTGTGTTAGTGTATGTGGATCTGTGTGATACCAGAGATAATGATTTGAAGATCATGAGTTACTTCCATGTAAACTGGATCAGGGGCGGATCCAGGTGTCCAGAAAAAAAGGGGGAAGGTGGGGGGGGGGGCGATCGAGACAACACTACCCTAGGGGTCCAGGAGCATTCCCCCGCGAAAATTTTGTTTTCTAGACACCCGAAAATAACCTCCGAGGCGTTTTGGGCTATCAATTATTCCTTTTTCTTTCTTTCTTCTTTTTACCTTATTTTATTTTCCAAAAGAGGGGTCGGGCCGGCCCGCCCCCACCCCCAAATCCTCCCTTGTGGAGGTAGTTAAAAACATTTTGTTTATACACTTTTTTGACAAAGCGTTATCTAAAATGGCACTATTTATATTTTGAGATGTAAAACAAGAAAGCACACATCATCATTATTCTCTTTAAATGGTTTGTATGTCTGTCAAGAGCCTTTCATGACACAATTTTGAACGTGTAGACGATGTAGCGGAGTCCAAAGGGAATAAACAACGCGACAGAAAATGACATTGTGTAATTCTTTTGGTTGAATGTAATGGTGTGGAATCAAATGTAGCGTAATAGCGCAAGTCTATATTCAATGATTTAGGAGGCGTAAATGATACCGTACTCTGTAATGTTCGTGTCGGTTGACATGTTATTCGGTTTGTAGAATACACGGCACACGTTTTTACTAGGTAGCGAAAAAAGGTATCTCCCTAGGATTCCGACGAGCGTCTCATACTGGACATGCAGAAGATTAGATTTTTAAAAGTATTTTGCTGTATATATACTGTCTCTTATACACATCTAGATGTGTATAAGAGACAGGAATAATACTGTAGAGGGATAATACTCTGTATTTGGATAGGCCAAATATACAAATTATATGGAGGTCGATATTATTATTTTAAAAAAACATACTGTGGCCCAACGATATTTAACCAATTAAAAATTAAATGAATACTGTAATCGCATACGCTACGTGATTAAAAGAAATCAACATATGGCCATAGAATTTTTACTTATCAATTAGGCCTAATCGAAGTATGTAAAGAGTACTGATAAGAACTTACCAATTCCACGGAACCATAGTGTCTTCGACTAAACACACCTCGTCTCGCAGGCAAGTCCACGGCTGACGAGCTGGAAAAAATACATTAAAAAAGTAATTTGACGTATCACATCTATTGTATTGGTGTTTATTATAACATATACCTGTACTTATACATTAATCACATTGAATTATCTGCTAATAAAGAAAATTGTCATTTACGAAGTATTTAAATTGATAAGATGATTGAAACATCGTTATAATCAGGTTAATGTTCACTGGAATTCAGTTATCCTACGTTTATTGCGTGTTAAGGTAGAGTAGTAAAGGTGGAATAACCCCTAGCTTCCATCATCATTGTGTCGAATTGCTGCTTTGCATAAAGGCGTGGTCCGTGATTACGGTAGCAGTCGTAAGAGAGGCGCTTATGCATGTTCTCATCGTTCGACAATGGTTGTAATTAAAGAGAGCATTAGGTTAACCTTCTATTCATCCGAATGATTCAAAGTGTACTTGAAAGTGCACACTGGTGCTGTCACCAGTATAGAATTGTATCAGCATTTTATTTGTCATCGAAACTGATCACTTAGGTAGAATCGGCTGCTACTGTAACATGCTCGAAAAATTCAGGTTAACAGGTTGACAAGGGCTACTTTTGATGTAAATAATTACCGAACTGAAATACTACTTACATCCACAACCTATAGGCCTACTCGACCATTTGAACCAGAAAATCTATAGTATCTCAACTCGTTTGCCAATTCTTATGGTAAGACTAGAATGTACTTTGAAAGGTAAAACCAACATCGATATTAACTGATAATGAAAGAAATTTACGATGAGTCTAAAGTTGAATACTAGCTCTTCGACATTATCAACTGCAAAAACATCAACCTCAAATTTAAAGCAAAATAAACACTTCGAACTTAGAAAGTTACCACCCACTCATGTTTATTTAAGCTAGGCTATGTAATATACGTATAAGCGAAAGTACCGACCATTATCTGTTTTGAGCTCGTTTATAGACAAATGTATTTCTAATCTTAAAAAAGAGCTCCCTCTTCTAGTAATATCAATCATTTCGGAGCGCTTTTGAAAATGGTTCCACGGAGTTAAAACATTTTTCATGATGATCTATATTCAACATTCCCTTTTGAAAGATAAGGCGGAATTCTAGAAGGCCACTGCAACATTACTTGATTGATATTGGAAGAGCCATCATTACAAACTATAATACTGATATACATAATATTTCAGTACTAATGACTGTTTTTAGTAGTTTTATTACTATGATTAAAATGTTAACAGAACCTCTAGGTTTTAAGGGTAATTGTTTTTTTTTTTTTTTTTTTTTTTTTTTTTTTTTCAGTTTTACGTTTTATTAGGGTGGTTTCAATTGTGCGACGGCATGACCCAGGATGTTCCCGTGACAGTTCTGTGTAAGCCTACTCGCACAAAGTAAATTGGTGAAACCATCTTTTCTGAAAAACTAGAACTCAGTCTTGAGCAGATGACTTTTATACCAGAACTATTTACAAAAATTTATTGTCGTTGTGCATTCGGAAGATCTATGTGTTAGGATTGACGCATCTCAAGCGTACACTGTTCAACGCGTTCTCTCCAACAAATCTGGATTTGACTCAATCTAATTGTGTCAACAGCCGAGGTGACCACTCGCCTTCTATACCTCAACATTTTTTAGTTCTCAACTGAAACATGAAAATATTTGTGTTCATTTGACATAAACAATCTGGACATAATCATCTAGCCTAAACCTTTTAAAATTAGACAAATGTGTGGCCCGTGATTAGATGATTTCAATGTCTAACTAAAACCGCTTTAATGTAGTTAAGTCAAGTTCAGCTAATAATATTTTTCTTATGTTAGTATTTGAACATTGAAAGAAACGAAGCGAAGACACCATATGCTACTACTACTGCTTCTGTTGCTACTTGGCCTACTCATTTCGATACTAATTTTGTATATACTGACTGCTCAACCACACTCCTGCGTCGTAGTAGGTTCTAATTCCCGATTCACATTACCACATCCAGTAGAAACCGGACATCAAACAAGCAAGCATCCACAAACTAACAACACAGAATCAGATGCTAACAGTTGTATCGCATTTGCAATATATGAAATTAATTACGTCTCAGACTAATAGACTAGCAATCGCTCTTCTTATAATTGTTGCTGAGATTATATTTTCCCCTTTCCACGACAAGGTGTCTCAAATACAATTGCCGTAGTAGGCCTACTCAATTGCTTTTGCTTATTCACCTACTTTGCTTACTGATCGCCAAAAGGATTTTAGATGGTCGCACAGTAGACGTGTCGTAATCCATATAAATATAAATGGGTGGTATTACCAGTCAATGATGATTAAAAAGACGAATATACATACATACATACACACATACATAATATGTAAATATATGTACGATTCATACTTTGTACTCAACTAGCCCCAGCCAAATCAAAGGATTAGTTAGCTGTACATCTTTGGCGCGAGACAATTTCTGTTGTTGACATTTGAGGGTATTAGAGGTAGGTTGACGTGAGGTGTATCGATATTGCCATATTAATCTTAAAATACACAACGGTGATTGATCGCTAGGACTAGGAATAATATCTATTGATATAGGTTTGTGATCAGTCCGGTACACTACTCAACGTCATTTATTAGTAACAACAATGATTGTAATCAAATGACGTTTTATCACATCTTTTCAATTTGCGTTACAAACTTCCGTGACACACGCGCGCGCGTGATGAGACTCCAGAATGAGTAACATGATTCACATCTTAAAGTCGATAATAAATACAACTAGGCCTATTAATTGTTCAAAATTGACAGTATATGCCAACATTAACACTATTTAGGCTAAAGAAGCAGAAAATAAAAGAAACTTGGTTGCAGTTGGATAGAATTGAAAAGCACACACTTAACTAATGACAAGGATCTATGAAACATTGACCAATATCACTTCGACCTGATACTCATAGGCCTAAGCAATTTAACGGAGCTTTACTATAATCTAAAGTCAGTGCTGTTTGTAACAATTTTTCCCGCAGTGTAACCAGCAATAGACATATAATCACAAGGGAGTATTAGTACTGTATACGAATTGTGTTAGTTAAATACTCGTTATAGTATATGTCTTGGCCACGTTACTGCTAGCATTTTACTGGGTCGCATACGCGTAATGTGCAAGTTAACTTGCGGTCACACACGTTCAAATGAATTAGGCCTATGGAATAAAAAGGATCTTTGAATGATTTTTGTCGTTTTCAGAATTGGTTTCTTGATCTTGCATATAATGTAACGGTGTGAATAACAACACATCTGGCATAATAAGCCGGTTTTCGTATACGCAGATTGCCATTTTGTTAGTATTTATTCCCGTTTATGTGGCTTAAGGTCCGTTCGCGAAAGTTATTCGCACGTGGACGTTGGGTTTATTGCTCTAAGTGCACATAATTCTTAAATTTGAAGAAAATATTGGGCTTTGGATAAAAGCATACACGACAATGGATGGATACTGATAATGCTAATAATATAATATGCAATGTATTATATTTCATCGCATAAGCGGAATGACGCAGAATTGACCATTGCTGCTTTACAATAGCTTAGATGATCTATGACTGTATGAGCTTCCCTCTTTGCCATCGGCTAAATTGTAATCTTATAATAACTTGAAAGAATCGCATCTGCGGGTCTACTCTTTAAAGCCATTGAAATGTAATTGTTCTGAAAAACTAGTGATTATGGAATATGTAATATAAAGGGAAAATTTCAATCTAACCCAACACACATAATTTTTTTTCTTTCTGAGTAAGTTTGGCATGATTAAAAGTAAGAAACGGCACTATTCAAATCAGAAACGGCCCTTTAATTGTACAAATGAAGCTGATGCGTCAAAGGCTTTTGTTGTAGTATTCAGAAATACTAGCATTTCAATTTAATAGAAAGGGAAAAACACGCAATATGAGAAGGTTTGTATATAATTTATGCATGAAGTCGATACATTGGCACTTCTAAGACGCTACCCCTTACTAGATAATGAGACAGCAGTTCAGCTTAATGCTGGTACAGAATTCATGCAATTCGGCTTCAAACTAGGCCTAATACCGGTGAAAATATATTTTGGCACCCATAAATTCCCCCTTGAGCTTAAATTTACAGTGTATTCGGGCCCGCCAAGAACTTAGGCCCCGGGACTCCAATATAGTAATACAGATAACTCCCGTTTACGTTCTTCTAATAATGTATTCGGTTACGGACGGACGGTAGGTCATCGGATATTACATTTAACCAAATCCCATCAGAAACCTCAGAGTCAATAAGATGTACGATAAAACACGAACATATTTTGCTATAAATAACTTCAGCCTGTCAGAACGTAGCTTTCATTCGATTTATTATAGATCTCCATTTATCTGTATCTGCAGATGTGAAACATTTGCCAATAAAGTTTACATGAAGTGCATCAAGATATGCAAAGCATTTTGTATGGGTCTAGCATTTAAGTCAACTGTATATTAAAGTATATTCTAATGATAAAGATGATATATGTAGCGTTTTGATACGTGTATATTATTTTCAGATTGATGATTTTAATTTTTTTCTTTTCTGTGCAAGATGCATTTAATACGGTACCGTATGTCTATTTGATATAGAAAACGCATCATGGTACTTGTTTATGCTTGCCGTAGCTAATTAAATCTGTTGACCTTTATGCCGAGAATGACCTTTCCACTAAGCCCCACTCCTTGGATATTGTTGGTGAGGTCCCACATAACGACAGTGTTTTAACATACATGCGTTTTTGTGGACAACACTGTGCTTGTTAGACGCGCGCGTACTCCTGGCCCTGTTCTGATTGGTCGGTCCTTGATCTCCGCTTTTACTGCTTTGTTTTTGTTTGTTTTTATTATTTGCATTTGGTGCCAGTAAGGTACTAATATAACAGGCCTATCTAATCAAGAAAAAGTAGTATGAGCATAATACTACTTATATCCATTTGTCAAAGAAAATATCAATTCGTCTAATTGAAACCAAATCATTTAGCATACTTAAGTTCAA